ATCATGTAAAAGACAAATGCCAGCATTTTTGCCCATATTGAGTACAGTATTCTTATATGCAAAGGACAATGAAAATTGTACATTATACAAGTCAGATATGATGCATGCCAACTGTTTCTGTTTTTTTTGCAACAAAGAGGGATTTTTTGAACAAATTTGTGCAATGCACAGAACTTTCCTAACCTTGATTTTTTTTTTAAAAGGTGTGCATGGTATGCAAGTATATGCAGTAGCCAGTATCATATGTTCTTTACTGGGAAAAACATTGTTCAATGTCATCAAGAACACCTAAAAAGTATTAATTCAGTATAGTCATGAATCGACTTTTTCTTTGTCCAGTCTACAAACAAATTCACATCATCACAGACGTATTAGAATCGACAATGCACATTGAACAAAACACCACTGTACATGTTAGCATGACCCATATACAGTAGTCAATAAATCACTTACAGCACATTTTATTCCTTTTTCGATTTGGTCTATTTCTTCCTCTATCGTCTTCCGACTTTTTTTCTAGTCAAGAGAATCATCACTTCTTCATCTCGGAGAAAAAGTGTTAACATGATCGCATATTACTCAAATTTTTCGTCATTTGTCTTGATGTGATGATAGGTTTTGCCGTGAAAATCTTTGCCTAAAGTACAGAATAAGTTATTCATGAAAATCAAGCCCAGTAATGAATGCGAACTGGAAAAGCTGTAATTTCTCCTAGGCATATGCATGGATGCGGTTTTACAATTGATCAGCATATCCAGTATTGGGCAATCGATCATATGCTGTAACTAAAACGGCTCTTTGGAATCCCAATGTTTCGTAAATTATTCGGGGAATCACGCAAGCTGCCAATGGTGCAAGCACATGCGAACTGGGTTTGTCCACGTATTTTATTTTTGACTTCGAGGTTCTAACGTACTTAATGTCCGCCATCTGTCAAAGGGTCTTCTTGAGTCGACATATTCCCCTGTTCACTTTCGATAAGATAATAACTTACAGACGGATGAAAAATATATGCAAATTATTTTAAAACGCTCGCTCGACATCTACAGTCCTTATAGAGATGCGTATACAGCACTGTATCTGGATTGAAAATATTTGTGTTTAATGTGCACCAGAACTTTTCAAAAGAAAATACAGTACTGTATTTACTTGAGTACCACGCGCCCTTGAGTAAGGCACTCACAGGGTTTTTTCAGTTGGAAATTTGGCTAAAATCTCATCCACAAGTATGACTTGCACCCCAATTTTTAGTAAATCAAAAACCACAACATTTCGAAAATAGAAACAAAAAATTTGACTTTAGACATGAATTTAACAAAAGTCTGACCGTAAAAATTAAAAAGGTCTTGTTTTTTCAAAAGAACAGTGAAAAAAAAGGTTTAAAGAGGTAATACTAATTCATATTAAGTGTATCTTGAAAGATTTTGAAGAGCTTTTTAAACATGGGTGAATACTCGTGCACCCATTTTTTTCTTCTGAAATTCAAGAAAAAAGGTGCTTGTGGTACTCAAGTAAATACGGTATATGTAAATTATTTCAAGAAAACAGGGCCTTGCTCTTCCCTGAAAAACATTACTCATGAATCATGATGGTCATGGTCTCATGGGTAATATACGGAATGGCATTTTGTTTTTGAACTTCACAAAAGACATACTCTTATGTTGGAGCAGCAGGTTGCCATCTGAGTGAGATGATTTTTATGACTTCAAACTTATTCCAGAAACTGATGTTTTCAAAGCCCAGCAGGCCATAGAATGAAATTCTTTTTTTTTGATACACGAAATGTACTTTCAAACTATTCGACTTATACACAGATATCTTGCAATATATATGCACAGTATATCAGTAAATTTTGTACCTGTCCGCAAAAAACAAAGAATACCTCGACGTTTCACCTCCACTCGGCTTCCTGCGGCTCCTGCATTTTATTCTCCCCTGTCCAGGGGAGAGAGAAAGAAAGAGAGAGAGAGAACGACAGGGAGTTAGAGACGAGACAGAAGTTAAGCAGCAGCAGCAGTTTAGGGGGGAGGGGGAAACCCAAGGACCCAATACGTTGCTTGGGCTCCGTTTGGACTCCGGCTGGCAGTCCGTCGTTCGACACGGGAATTTTCTATGATTTCCTCACGCTGCCAACCTTGCGAACAGATTTACAGTCATGCATTATTTTCCGAAACAAATTACAGTAGATTTATTTGTTTGCCCTGAAAAACTTGGTTAGGAAGGACGAAAGTATGCGTCTAAATTGTACTTGCTTTTGTCTTGCATGAAATTGAGTTCAAGATTTTTTGAAAGCGTTGTGCGTGAATGCATCTGGTTAACTCGTTATTTTTAGTTGCCGTTTAAGCTCGAGATTTGAGTCTTTCAATTACGCATTAAATACAAGTGTCCGGAGATTTTTTTTATCATGATTTCTATTGGAAAAGTTTGTTATAACAGTAGAACAGTCACTTCGAATTTGAAATTGATGGCAAAATTCAAACTTCAAGGAGTGATTATACAGGGATTTGTTCATAATCCAGGACTTTTTGGTCAGCACGAAGCAGTCAATTTCGTATCATAATTGACAAGGAAATTCAAGATATCAGTCATTTTGTTTTATTTTTAATAAATTATTTGCAGTTCAAGGTAAATTAATTTATGCAGAAAATATTCTTTACGTAAGTCATGTTTTCCTCTTGTTGATTTGAATTGAACAGCAAGCTTTATTTTCTGCTTTTCAGCATTCAAAAGGTTCAAGCAATTTTCTTACATCCAAAACGCCTCCCCTTCCCACTAACATTAATCCAAACTCATTCCATCACATCAAAATGGAAAACAGAGAAATAAGCTGTTCATGGATATTCAAATGAAAGAAAATGCATCACAAAATTTACAATTGCACAACTGATGTAAATACATACACTTTCTTCTTTTCCCTGATAACAAAAACAAAATTCCAGTAATTCAAATTGCATAATAGGGCAATTACTGAACCCAAATTAAAGCACAACGTGTTCAGCCTGCTCCCAGGTAAGGTTTAGTTGATTGAACAATTTGGAGAGAATCTTTGATGAGAAATCATAAAAAGTTAACAGTTTATCTTGTGGAAAGTTTGTAATGAAAATTTTTGTGACAAGTCCTTCATCAGTATCATCACACAGGGAATTCAAAGCACAGGTGAACCTTGATAACTCAAACCCCCCTAAGTCAAATTTTTTTTCAGATCCCCATCTAAATCACCTTAGATATAATGCATTAAAAACCTCCCTAAGTCAAAGGCTTTCCTCCTCAAACCTCTGTAAGTTGAATTTTCTGTGGCCTGTTGGCTATTATTTTCTTTACACAAGAAAGAAAAACAGAAATTGATGGGTTTCAAAAAGAAGGGAAAGACTTAATTGGGCAAATGAACCCCTGACTATACATTTAGCATCCTTTCAATTCATTTAAGAAGCAATTCAAGCCCCAGAATACCACCATTTACAATTTTTGGCAATTTCTCTGTTTCCAAGAACAAAAGAGCTTTGTATTGTAGCTCAAACCACTATAATTTAAAACCTCCAAATAAGATGAAATGTCCCTAAGTTGACTTTTTGCTGGTCCCTTGAAATTCAACTTCAAGTGGTTCAACTGTAGCATTATTCCAAAGAACATTTAATTTTTATCCCAAGGTCAGTTTTCATATATTTATATAGAATATAATACACTAACTGGAGTTATAAAAAAAGTTTTTCCTAAATTCGTTTTTAAATCGTCATTTTTCCTCTTTTGTTCTGCAAAATTTCATGAAGATTTCCGGCCATCAGGATTCATTCTTACGAAGGCACTAAAATGAATTTGGCCCATAATTCTGCTTCGTATGATTCGCGCGTATCTGTATTAATCTTTCTTTCTCTCTGACATTGAGCGAGAAGCGGAAAGAAGAGAAGAGACAGAAAGAATATCAAGATGGAAAGAAAGTTATATACTCCCCTTGCTTACTGTTCTTGAACCAAAGGGCAGTCCGCAGTATAACCTGGTTGGCAGCTGCTTGGCACCGGAGCGTGAACCAAATATTTTCCCAACGTCGGTAGACGACTTTGATTTTCATTTTTCTTCTCTTCATATTCTTTTACTTTTCTTTGCGTCGAAATATGTTTTTTTTTAGTATTCGCCACGTTACGCGATAAAATACTGTAGCTTCTTTTCTGCATTGGTAAGAACGGGAATAATTGAGTAACTTTTTTTCCTCATTTGAGGCGATTTAAGAATTTCTTCCGTGTTCCATGCGAAGAGTTCGTGGCAGTGTTTTTGTTTCGTCGTCATGCTGACGACAGCTTGTTTCGCTGAATGACGACGACGTTCGTTTCTGACTCGCTTATGCTGACGTCGCGGTTTTATTTTCTTGGCTGTCTCAAGAAACCGTTATATTTGAGATACGCGGAATGGTTCTCGGAAAAAAAGATTGGCGAGATATGCGATTTCAAATTACTCTGGATATAATATTATGCTGTTTCTGGAGAATTCGTTGATGTTCGAAGGCATTCGAGACGCTGAAAAACATGGGGTTCATCATCACAATAAGAAAAGCGTGTCTCAAAAGCGCGAGGAAAGTGGATAGTGTTTCAAATATTCATATATAATTTTGACAGTCTCCTCATTTGAGAAAAATCATTTTCTGATTTTTTTTTTAAATTTACGAAGGAACACTAAAATGAAGAAGCTTTTGTTCCTTCCTGGTTGACCAGTGTTCTCTGCAAAAAACCGATTTTCATGTAGAACAAAGATTCGATGAATTTGATACAATATTACGAAGTATTGAATTGAATGTAAGAAATCATGAAGATTGTTTTGGAGGGCCGGAAATCTTATTTTTTTTATTCCGACAAGAAAAGGGCGAAAAGCGTCTTCAAAATTGTTTCCGAACTTACTACAGTATTTTGACTAGCTTATGACATATTTTTGAATGATGAAAAAGCCGTTGGGGATTTAATAAATGCCTAAATTAATTTAAAACCTTGCTTTTTCGTGAGCAGGTGATGTTTCTTCGGCAGCGGAGTAAAAATACATGTCGAGAAGGGATCATTTAAAAAAAAACTAGTTGGAACGAACAAATAGATCACTGGTCGCGATAAACACACCGGAGGTTTTCCTTAATTAACCCTCAGGAAGAAGTACGTTGATGGTCAATGACTGTTAGGCCTCATATAACTCTTTTATTTTTGACATGTTTCGCAAGTTTCTGGAGTCCAGTGGTAGAAAGTATAGTTGAGTATAAGGAGCAACAAAAAAAAGGATTAGTTATCGAACTCGCGCCTGGTTTTTAATGACCGCGGGAGAGAAGCCGGGGATTGATGACGTGATTGTTGTCTGGTGGGAATGCGAGCCTAATTAAGCAACAATGACCCGAGCTTAATTACGAGGGATTTTTATGGTCACGGGTTGACGCACTCGCTTCGTTCCCATTGCAAAGTACGCGCCGTAATTAATTCGGTCCTGAAGGAAAATGTCGCGGGTATGGAAGAAAAAAAAGGGGGGAGGCGGTTTAATTAAGAAGGCACCAAGATTTTTTGGGATTCTTGATATTCTTTTGCTATACTGGGGGAATCTATTTTGAGTGTGGTATCTTTTCTTCGATTGAGATATGGTTTGGGCAACAAATCAGACCTTTACAGAAACTTGAAAGGGTTTCTTGCGTAGAAGAGTGGACAGTTAAAAATTTCGAGGACTTCAGAATTATCTCCATATTTGAGTTTTTGAACACTTCAAAGACGGAGGGAGCAGTCTATAACTAACGAACTATTCAAGTACTGTACTCTCATTGTCAATTATCGATAATATTTGATCATCGAAATGGAAGTATCTTCGTGAACCTAATAATTATGGTTATATTGTACTTCATTACCTTGCTTTATTGCAGCGCACTTACAAGGTACATTAAAAATCTATTGCTCATTTATTACATGATCACGTTCAGAAGGACTGATTTTTCGATTAACCCCTGCCCCTGTACAAATATTTGGATATTTTCAGCTTCATATTAACCTTAATGATTATTTGGCACTGAAAATATCAATGGTACTGAACTGAAAACATCTGAGTTTTTCTTCTAAAAAAAATTCCAGCATCAAGAATCCACATAAAAAAATGTAAGAATACAGTTTTCAACATTAACCCAGATGATCGAGGTTCTCCAATATATCACGTATGAACAGTGTTCTCGTTTTTTTGGATGTAAAAACAATTTACTGTTCTTTCATTAATTGATAGCGCTCTTTTCTTTCAGTGAGTTCATCTCTTAAAATATTCGAAGATTTTGAGCTAGATGTCAGCTTCAATGATTCAGTCCTTTCATTAATTTTGATCAGAACTTTTCCCTTCCCAAATTCAGTCCAAACCAATTCAACCTGTTACCAAATGCAGTCCAAACAATCAAAATTGTTGTGGTAAATGTTTTTGTTCTGCTTTTGTTGGAAACTTTTGCACAGCATTTTACAAATTTTCAAAGTCTGAGGTGAAATGCATTAAACTTGCAATTTACTGAAAATCTTGAAGAATCGGAATGATGTGTTTTCTTCCTTTCTCAATCCTGTTACGCAAGCACACTGCGTAATTAAAATATATTGCATAATAATTCCCAGAAGTAACAAGAATTCCCCCCTCCTCAATAATAACAGTACCAGGAACATCCTGGCACCATAGCATCCTCAAAAATATATTCCCTACTCTGGTTTAATGAGTAAAGCCTATTGAAGGTTAAATGTAAATTGTAGTATATAAGAAGCTCACGTTTAATAATCATCATTAGTTGTGAATTTGTGAACTCCAGTTACCCTAATAACTCAAGTACCACTTGCCCTCAAGTAAGGCAAGCAGAGGGGTTTTTCAGTTGGAAATTTTGCTAAAATCTTATCCCTAAGTAAGACGCGCACCCCAATTTTTAGGGAATCTGAAACCACAAAATTTTGCAAATAAAAACAAAAAACTGACCTTAGGCATGAATTGAACAAAAATCTCATCAATTTTCAACTTTTTCAGTACAAAAACGTTTTCTTGTTACATTTGCTTCAAATTTCTCCATTATAATCAAGTATAATGCACACATAACTTCCTAAAACTTCTTGAAAATTTTGTACCGGCTTATGACGCTCACCCCTTATTTCTTCTGAGATTCAGGAAAAAAGGTGCACGTGGTACTCAAGTAAATACAATACGTGTGGTACTCAAATAATCCTGCAAGTTGAGTTTGCTGAGTTGTTGCTGTTATCAAGTCTACTCTGTGTGAAATACATTTACCCCTTTAAGTCTGAAAAATCCTACAAGGAATTCCTGCTCCTGTCCTGGACTGATTGTTTGTGTTTCATTATGTTTGACGCTCAACATCAAATCATATTGAGGTGAAAATTGTCCCCAATAAATCCCTTTTCAATCTTGGCAGCATATACTGGGTTTCATCACAGAAAACAGAATAAAAATATAATACAGTTTCTGAATTAATTCCCCAGATAATGACCTGCCCCAGTGCCTATATTTTTCTTCATATAATCGAGACTTGATCACAATTTAATAATCCTCGCTCATTAATATAGAACGCGTTCGTTTCTTTTATTGCAATGTTTCACGAGCATTAAAAGATTTCCTGCTCGATTCCTGGGTTAATGGTTATTTGGTGCTGAATACTGGTAGCAAACACATTGGATTTTTATTCTGATATTAATGCCCTGCCTTCGAAAGAATGTCGCTCGCTATCTTCATGGGAGGAAACAAAAAAGGAATAATGATAATAATAATAATACATTTCCCAAGCAGGCATTAAGAAATCGCGTGGGGAACAGTACCGCGATTATAGCCTTTGAACTCACCGCCCCGCCTTCGTTATATTTGTCGGCAGCAGACTGTTGAAACCGTCTCCAGCTCCCAGTTCACGAGCTTCTTATCATACATCCCATTTTCCAGCTCTTTTTTCTTCAAAAAAAAGTTCAACATGAAGAAACAAACGAAAGGGATTGAAAGAAGAAGAAGAGAATGAGGAAAAAAGGAACGATTTCGAGGCCGTGATGAGGAAGGGAAAAAGATGGAGGAGAGATACGAATCTGGACACCCGAGCGTCTTCCTTGCCTTAATGAGCATGGGTTCGTCCGCCAATTAACCGACGACGGCGATAGTCTTTGTTTTCTTATTTATATATATATTTTTTTCTATAAGTCCCACGATGATGACAATCGCCATCTTGGCGTGAATTGTTTCTGTAATTCATCTGCCTGAGGGGGTTTTTTTTCGTATAATCAACAGCCCCCCTTGCAGAGGCCTTAATTGACGCTGTAAAAAGGCGACGACGACCGTCTTGCAGTGCTACTACTGCTATCATAAAGGAGAAATATATAAGTCAGAAGTTTCGTATGCTAAAAAAGAGAAATAAATTTTATTATCCAAAGGTCCGAGGAAGATTCGTGCAGTTTGACGGCGAAATTTATTTCATCATTCAACTACTTATTTCAAAACGTTCGAAAGGTTTTGGAAGATGGACTGAATATATTCAGTAATTTTTAAGCAATTTTTACTCAAACGTGTCGAAACGGGAAAAATGAAGGGAAAGTTCGCCTCTTGAGAAAATTTGAAACTACCGCGTTTGCAAATTTTGTGAACTTGTGCACGCGGTAGAAATGTTACCAATTATTTCAAATTATTGACGCTTTCAAGTTTCTTTGTATACGGTATATCTAAGAAGTAAAAAGCCATTTAAAATTGTAATATCGGGAGTTTTTCCGAAGGAGTCCTGAATGTGAATGTTCTTCATAATTTCAATTGAGGATCAAAACTTTCTCCATATCACGAATGCAAGTGGATAAAATCCTCAGATTTACTTCGAATGTTTCCATTGAATTATTCTTAGTTTACAGGATTCGAATTCAGAAATAACTTGGACAATTTTTTTGCTGTGATTTCTAATCGGAAAAATGGAATCTTCACTCCTTTTTGTTGAATTTCATCATTTAGTCTTGCATAAGATGAAGGTTTTAAGAAGCTGTGTCTATAGATATTCTAAAAGCTTCCCGTCGACTCTTTTCTTTGTGTTGCAATATTCCTTTTTTTAATTTTCTACTGCTGGAGGCAGAAAATCATAATCAATGAGTAATTTCGAAACATTTGAGTCGGTTTAAAAATGATTCACTAAGCTTTCAGAAGACTTCCTAAAAAAAAATCTACACAAAGAAAGGGAGGAAACAATCTGTTTTTTATAGTAGACAAAACCCAGTTTCGGACGATCGTATCCGTTCGAATTAGAAATTCAACGAGATGGTGGTTTTGTACTGATTGATACACCTTAAGAAACTTTGTCACATAAAAAAAGAACTTGTGAGAGGAAGCCTTATTTAAACCTCGAGTCAATCAAATCTCCAGATCAGTGATCGCATTTACAAGAACGGTGAAGCGGACTCGCATAGCTCCTAATTACGAGAAGCTCCAACAGAAGTCAGCATGTTATTCATCAGAGACTCGTAATAAATTGGTGGTCAGTCAACCATTTCTGGCAAAAACTCGTTTGAGACGGGAGAAAAACAGTACTGATTAAATAATCTTCTGTATTATTGTGAAGCGCGAGTCAATAAATTTGAGAGTACAGTAGCATGTTGAGCAATATATACACAACACATGGCGACGTTCAACCAACGTATTTTTGAATGTGCAGCACCTGAAAGAAATAAATGAGGACCCTTTGAATAATATCGTGAGACGAATGACTTTTGAAGATACAGAACAGCAATTAAAAAGGAAAATATGCTAAAATTGTTTGTCCATCACCAGTACAATAAACTGTCGTCAATATTTCCTTCTGTTTCGCGGACTATATCTTGAATTACAGAGTGCGTGACCTTTGAAATATACGAAAATGGTTCAGAATATAGGATACATTTATTTTTAATTTTTTGAGTTTATTTTGAGACTTGTTTCTTCTTTTTAATTGCCTTTTTCTAAAGTCAAGTTTCCAGAAAACGACAATTCATGACTAAATAAAAACAAGACATTCGTCATCATGCCCCGGAATTTCCTCGATTATTACATCGATTACAGTATTTATATATCTTTGGAGTCATAATTTAATACTTTTAGTAAATAATAGGGGTTTCACGTTCTGAGCCCCGGCCCTCAATGGATTGAAGAGCCAACCGAAGCAAGTAAAAGTAAAAATGTAATTTACGTATTGAAAAAGCTAAAATTCACCAAATTCAACAGACTCGCCTTTCCATAAAAATTATCATTGCTCGTTTAATGATTATTTTTTGGGATTTGGCACATTTCATATATATGTACTGTAAGAACTGTATTTCACAAAACTTTAGATGACCGTTAAAAAACTTCAGATAACAGACTTCCTTTTCAAATGATCAAGTCTGCTAAACGAGGCACGACTTATTTGTAGAGATTCCATGGGGATAATATTGTTAATTATATATCACAGCGCGTTTAATAAAATATTCTAGGAGAAAATTGTTCAACATATCCAGCTGCAAGACATTCAGCAAATTATATTGATGATTCACTGCATACAATTTCGAATAATTCATTCGATGATCTTTTGGAGGCCTGGAACAAGTCATGTCTGCTAAAAAAAAACTTTATATCACTTTATTCAAATATATTTTGGACAAGTCTTCCCGTTATTTGAAATCGGTATCACGTATGTTAACCGAGGCTCTATATACCGTGTCCAGCTTTCAGAACGGATAAAAATTGCCAAGGCATTATACATCAAAACCCGTTTCATAAAATATTCCACACGGGGGATTTTTTTTTTTTTCATCGTCCATCGAGATTGTCCTGGAAAGGGTTCTGCGTCCGACCCGATCGTAACAGCTATGGGGTATATATGAAAGGGTCCCAAGCCCGAGACCCGTTCGCGTGACGACGCAACGTTTAACCCCAGCTCCATTTTCTACCTGACAGGGCTGAAATATGGATGCAGAAAGCCTGTTNCATCTGCCTGAGGGGTTTTTTTTTTCGTATAATCAACAGCGGGGGAACGTCTCCGGAATTAACTGCGACATTTTTCCGCTGCTGCTGGCAGAACGTCACGATGATGACGATAGTATTTCCTCTTTATATATTCAGTCTTCAAAGCATACGATTTTTTCTCTTTATTTGTTATTATCAAAAGGTGCGAGGAAAATTCGTGCAGTTTGACGCCGAAATTTATTTCATCATTCAAACTACTCTCAAAACGTTTGAAAGGTTCTGGAAGATGGACTGAATATATTCAGTAATTTTTGAGCAATTTTTACTCAAACGTGTCTATGAGGGGAAAGTTCGCCTCTTGAGAAAATTTGAACCCACCGCGTTTTCAAATTTTGTGAACTTGTGCACGCGGGAGAAATGTGACCAAATATTTCAAATTATTGACGCTTTCAAGTTTCTTTGTATACGGTATATCTAAGAAGTAAAAAGCCATTTAAAATTGTAATATCGGGAATTTTTCCGAAGGAGTCATGAATGTAAATGTTCTTCATAATTTCAATTGAGGATCACAACTTTCTCCATATCACGAATGCAAGCAGAGAAAATCCTCAGATTTACTTCGAATGTTTCCATTGAATTATTCATAGTTTACAGGATTCGAATTCAGAAATAACTTGGGCAATTTTTTTTGCAGTGATTTATAATTGGAAATATGGAATCTTCACTCATTTTTTGTTGAATTTCATAATTTAGTCTTGCATAAGATGAAGGTTTTAAGAAGCTGTGTCTATAGATATTATAAAAGCTTCCCGTCGACTCTTTTCTTTGTGTTGCAATATTCCTTTTTTAATTTTCTACTGCTGGATGCAGAAAATCATAATCAGTGAGTAATTTCGAAACATTTGAGTCGGTTTAAAAATGATTCACTAAGCTTTCAGAAGACTTCTTTAAAAAAATCTACCCAAAGAAAGGGAGGAAACAATCTGTTTTTTTTTATAGTAGACAAAACCCAGTTTCGGACGATCGTATCCGTTCGAATTAGAAATTCAACGAGATGGTGGTTTTGTACTGATTGATACACCTTAAGAAACTTTGTCACATAAAAAAAGAACTGTTGAGAGGAAGCCTTATTTAAACCTCGAGTCAATCAAATCTCCAGATCAGTGATCGCATTTACAAGAACGGTGAAGCGGACTCGCATAGCTCCTAATTACGAGAAGCTCCAACAGAAGTCAGCGTGTTATTCATCAGAGACTCGTAATAAATTGGTGGTCAGTCAACCATTTCTGGCAAAAACTCGTTTGAGACGGGAGAAAAACAGTACTGATTAAATAATCTTCTGTATTATTGTGAAGCGCGAGTCAATAAATTTGAGAGTACAGTAGCATGTTGAGCAATATATAAACAACACATGGCGAAGTTCAACCAACGTATTTTCGAATGTGCAGCACCTGAAAGAAATAAATGAGGACCCTTTGAATAATATCGTGAGACGAATGACTTTTGAAGATACAGAACAGCAATTAAAAGGAAAATATGCGAAAAATTGGTGCCCATCAGCGAGGAGTACAATAAACTGTCGTCAATATTTCCTTCTGTTTTGCGGACTATATCTTGAATTACAGAGTGCGTACCTTTGAAATTTACGAAAATGGTTCAGAATATAGGAGAAATTTATTTTTAATTTTTTGAGTTTATTTTGAGAGTTGTTTCTTCTTTTTAATTGCCTTTTTCTAAAGTCAAGTTTCCAGAAAACTACAATTCATGACTAAATAAAAACAAGACATTCGTCATCATGCCCCGGAATTTCCTCGATTATTACATCGATTACAGTATTTATATATCTTTGGAGTCATAATTTAATACTTTTAGTAAATAATAGGGGTTTCACGTTCTGAGCCCCGGCCCTCAATGGATTGAAGAGCCAACCGAAGCAAGTAAAAGTAAAAATGTAATTTACTTATTGAAAAAGCTAAAATTCACCAAATTCAGCAGACTCGCCTTTCCATAAAAATTCTCATTGCTCGTTTAATGATTTTTTTTTGGGATTTGGCACATTTCAAATATATATATACTGTAAGTACTGTATTTCACAAAACTTTAGATGACCGTTGAAAAACTCAGATAACTGACTTCCTTTTTAAATGATCAAGTCTGCTAAACGAGGCACGACTTATTTGTAGAGATTCCAGGGGGATAATATTGTTAATTATATATCAAAGCGCGTTTAATAAAATATTCCAGGAGAAAATTGTTCAACATATCCAATCAACAAATTATATTATACTAAGTGACGTATGTTAAAGCTTATTAAGTAAGCTACTAGAAAACCTCCGGACCTTGTTCAGTACAGACGATTTTTTTTTGAAATATAGTGAAATAAGTTTATATAAAACCTGTTCAGAAGGGCATATTTGAAATCGGTATCACGTATGTCAACCGAGGTTCTATATACCGTGTCCAGCTTTCAGAACGGATAAAAATTGCCAAGGCATTATACATCAAAACCCGTTTCGTAAAATATTCCACAAGGGGGATTTTTTTTTTTTTCATCGTCCATCGAGATTGTCCTGGAAAGGGTTCTGCGTCCGACCCGATCGTAACAGCTATGGGGTATATATGAAAGGGTCCCAAGCCCGAGACCCGTTCGCGTGACGACGCAACGTTTAACCCCAGCTCCATTTTCTACCTGACAGGGCTGAAATATGGATGCAGAAAGCCTGTTTTTTCTTCCATTCGTGCAGAAAGATTAAAAAATATACATACCCTATAAAATATTCTATACCTGGGCTTGATTGCAGACCGCATATTTCTGTTCTCGTTGCGAAGCCCGAACGAATCGAAACTTGAGCCGAAGTAAGAATCCCGCAAGAAAATTAAACTCCATTTTCGTATTTTTTGACCTTATTAAATTATCACGGTTGAATCATTGAAAATTCTTCGGGATTTCGAATGCAAATTTCGTTCTGCAGAATGTTATACTACGTGTAGGTTTTCTTTGAAATCGCTGCAAACGTCGTTGAGAGACTTGGGTTTCCAAAATGAAGATTCTATGACGACGAATGAGAAAGTTTTTTCGTGAACAATCAGTTCTAAATCCTATTCTTGGACAATTTTTTCTTCTTTTCAGGAAAAGTATATTTTTCAGCACGGATAAGAGGCTAAGATTTTTTGAGTCGATTATTTTTCATTTTTCACGGCATTTTCATGAGCACGAATGATTATCTTCGTTTTTCAAAAATTACTTGAAGAATTGAAAATTTCAGAGCAGCATACCAGCGCATGTGATGGTGAAATATATTTACCAATACATTAAAATTTTGAGAGTCCAGCATTGAGAAACCTGATTTTCTTTGGAAGTATTCGAGAAGGTTGAAGAAGTAACGAACATGAACGAAATCCAACAACAGGTCCCAAATAAAATTAAAAAAAAAATACATTGGAATAGTGAGGCTGCGTTTTACGTTCAACGTCGACTTGCTTCAATTTCCGAAGCACGGAAATGAAAGAAAAATGGTGGAATTAAATGAGAAGATTGTACTCATATCCAGCGGTTTGGTAACTCTGCGATGACGCCTTTCGCGAGTCTGATCCAACGGGGGGAAGTTGATTTACGGACCGAGGTTGACGACGCGAAAGAATCGTAACCCGTTGACTACTTTTTGGCTCGTATTTTTTATTCGTTTCGAGTTATTATTTATTTTAAACAGGACAAGATAGGGGGGAAAAGAGATTCCTTGTCTGACGATAAATGTCGGAGAATGACGAGGGAACAGATCCGACGTGGCTCGAGGAAGAATTATTCGAGAGCCTCATTTTATTCAAAGTTTCAAGCGACTGACTGACTTACTCTTATTGTCTCAAAGCATCTCTGAAATCTCGTTTCAGAGTCTAGATAATTGCAAGCGATTCTTTAAAGGTGGACTGAGTTATGCAGTACTATTGTACAATGTTGCTGGGAAAGGTATAGTTGATATGCTGAGTAAACATCACCTTGGTAAATTTATTGCCGTGAAGTTTTCGTGAACTGAATGAAGTTCGCTACACCGAAATTAGACTTCGATGAGCACTGAGGACCTGATGAGAAAGATGGGAGAATAAATCGTTTTACCGACTTAATGTTATATAACGGCAGAACTTGTTTTTATTATTCGGTAGCTTTTGTTATAACCATTTTGATGAGTGCGCTACTATTTTCGTTAGTTGTTCGTCGTATTTAATTGGGTTTCAGCTAACATAATAAAAGAGAGAAGCAAATATAAAGGACTGATGGAAGACGAAATAAAGAAGCAGGGATGAAAAAGTTGTTTTTCCCTCCAACTAATATTCAGAACTGCTGATGGGAAAGAAAAGTAGATCTTGGTGAGGAAAGACCATTGACCTTGCCATCGGACATGGATGGGTTTCTCTATCTAAAATACATGTCACGAAGCTGCCTGATGATGATGATCCTCAAAAATAATGAACCACCATCATCGTGAAATGGACTCCTGATCAGTTAGTTTTCATTTCGTCGATCGAGGCTTTGAATCCGTTTGAGGACTTGCACCGATCCAAAACTTTTCCCCGAGAGAGTTCACGGTTTTCTCTTTCACTGATTTAAATCAGCATAACCTTGCAGCATTTTCATTTTTCCTTCATTATTACAGTAGTATGAAATTGGTAGTTGTATCCTGACGACTTTTCTGCTTTTTCTGAAATTTTCAAATTTTGAAAACAAGAAGAAGCAAAACTATACAGATACTGTATTTTTTAACTTTCCTCATGTTTTTCAAAAATTCCAATGTTTTCGCTCACAAATCACTGCAATTGAAGCATTTAACAGCCAAAAATTTTGTATTCTGTAAATCACTTCTTGTTATGCAAGTTACTTTCTTCCTTCTAAAAATGCTTTTAAAGTATCAGTTCTCCTATACGAATTTTTTTTTAATAAAACGGAATCCATTGTAAGTCAATTTTTGTGATACCACTGACTTATTAGAGGCGGTTCAACTACAGTAGAATCTCGTTATAACAAATTAATTTTTTCAACGAATTTTAGGCATCTGTCCAATAGCAGGCACAATGTGTGCCTGTTCATTTCATTTTAACGAGTTTTTGTTTATAATGAAGCTTTTTGAGGTCAGAAATGCTTCGTTGTTACGTGAGAAGATTCTCCTGTATATTAGAAAAAAAATTTGTCAGCAAAAAGTGTTCCACAATTCGAACAACGCAATAAGACTCCCAGAGGATATTGTAAGTTTAAAAAAAAACTTGCGAGCCAGCATGAATAATTTTAATAAGCACTCGTTGTGCTCATATATACTGCGTGGGATTTTGCATAATTTTTCCGCTCTCTTTGACGGCTAGAAAAAGAAAGGAATATTTTTAATGGCTCATACGACGCCAAAAGGAAGCAACGCGGAACCTCCAATAATATTATTATCGTTCGCTGAACTACTCTTTTGCCCAGGCTCCTTTGCCTAACGCTAACGTCCCTTCGGCCTTTACCGACTTCCTTCTAGGGGATCGCTGGGTCCCCCCCTTTGCTGCAGGTGCATCGACCAAACCCACCCCCAGGGGGAGGGCATGTGTTCATCAAGATCTGCTGCTGGCCTGAGAAATTGTGTTCGGGTTCTCCTCTCTCTTATTGCTCATTCTTTTGGCGAAATCGGGGGCATTCGCAAAATTTTTTGTTCGTTGTTTCGTTCGGGTCCAACCAAGTTCCGTTGGCGGGTTTGAAATAAACGAAATAAATAAATGAATGAATAAATAATGCGTTGCCCCCAGCCACCTCCTTTGTCTAAGTCGACGAGTTAACAATAAAGAAAAATAGATGAGCTACCAGCCACTTCTATATGTAAGCCACAACACACGTCCCTACGTCCAGCCCCTGCAGGCGCTCGAAGGTAGCGGATGAACATTTTATTCATCGTTTCCTTTTTTTAAATATTAACATTATTTTTTGTTGGTTGCCTTATATTCTGCTCTTGTTGTTTCCTCAGACGGCGAAACAAAGTCAGGTTTAAGTCTGTATTTGTGAATACGATTGATACAACTTTTTGTTTGTCTTCTGTATATAATTAAAACATATTTCGTCTCAGAAGAGAAATAACGCAAAAAATATATGTATCTGTAATAGACGCACATGGTCTATAATAGAGACCCCTCGTATCTACCGTAATTTAAAAATGCTTACGTATGCATCAGCATTTAATGAAGACTGGCCATTTATTAAAGGTTAGTAAAAAAAAACTCAAATGTTACTGTATATCATTGAACATGATTTCAATATCATAGATGGAGGAGTTGAAAAATCTAAAAGAACTCGGATTGATATCGACGAGCATGACGAATTTTCCATTAGTTTTTTATTTTTATTTTGCTGGAGTACTTGTTTTAGCATTGCAATTTTTTCTGAACTATGCAGAATTTCTTCCCTGCAGAAATGGTGCTCAAAATCGCTGGTGTGGCCGATATTCTAGATAATCTAGAATCTAGATATTCGAGCATTGGTCGCAATGCCTGAGAAAATGCGGCCTATATTCGAGGAACTATAATTTAGCCAAGGTATTTAAACTTATATTTGAACATTGGAAAGAGCAATCTCTCCAGAAGAAGTCGGTGGAGGAAACAGATTCAGCTGCTCAATTGTTATTTCTTTTTATCTACTCGATGGTCGGTGAAGATATACATTCGGTGTTGTGTGCAGGGATGCAGGTCGGGGACGTCCGCGAGCTTCCATCGTCGGGATGAACATTTTATTCATCGTTTCCTTTTTTTTAAATATTAACATTATTTTTTGTTGGTTGCCTTATATTCTGCTCTTGTTGTTTCCTCAGACGGCGAAACAAAGTCAGGTTTAAGTCTGTATTTGTGAATACGATTGATACAACTTTTTGCTTGTCTTCTGTATATAATTAAAACATATTTCGTCTCAGAAGAGAAATAACGCAAAAAATATATGTGCATTGGACGCACATGGTCTAATTCTAATAGAGACCCCTCGTATATCTACCGTAATTTAAAAATGCTTACGTATGCATCAGCGTTTACTGAAGACTGGCCATTTATTAAAGGTTAGTAAAAAAATCTCAAATGTTACTGTACTGTATATCATTGAACATGATTTCAATATCATAGATGGAGCAGTTGAAAAATCTAGAAGAACTCGGATTGATATCGACGAGCATGACGAATTTTCCATTAGTTTTTTATTTTTATTTTGCTGGAGTACTTGTTGAAGCATTGCCATTTTTTTCTGAACTATGCAGAATTTCTTCCCTGCAGAAATGGTGCTCAAAATCGCTGGTGTGGCCTATATTCTAGAGAATCTAGATATTCGAGCATTGGTCGCAATGCCTGAGAAAATGCGGCCTATATTCGAGGAACTATAATTTAGCCAAGGTATTTAAACTTATATTTGAACATTGGAAAGAGCAATCTCTCCAGAAGAAAAACTGCAAAAAACCAAACATTGAGAACGGTTCCGACAATAATCCAGAAGTAAGATGATCTTTAGATTCTTCGTGACGATGGTAATAAGCGCCGTTTTTTAGAAATTTTTGGCGCAATGAAAAGCTTATGCGACAATTTCCTTCCCCAAAATGCCGAAATATATATTTTTTTTCGTCCTCTAATATGTGTGCAGGCACATGTATTTTTATTGATACGATATGGTAGCTGTCTAGATTCGGAATGCGGCCAATAATCTCACGCGACGAACACAGTAGCACATACATTGCATTTTTTTTAATTATTAACTTTCGGGAGTTGTGACTCTTGCGATCAATTTTCGCGAAAGCTGTAGCGAGAAAAGCGTCAAATATATATAGATTGCATGTTTACTATGTATATAAACTGCGCGAGATTTATCTTTTTTTTTTTCTTCCTATACTTGGATAAGAGAGGAAGGAATGGAACCGGCGGCGACACCGACTTCCTGCGGCCGGGGCCATAATCAGATGGCCGGTGGGCGAGGAACAAGCCCACTTTTTCCCCCCCGAGCCCAGGCGTCATTGCCGCAAAAGCTTCACATTATGCCCCCACTGCGTGGTGCTGGTTGTGGTGGAGGTGGAGGTGGTGGTGGTGGCAGCAGCGGTGGTTTGTCGGGGACAGAGAGGGAAAGACAGAGAGAGAAAAGATGGTATCACTGGCGTCGGGTGTGCATTTCCTATATATGCACTCACGTGACGTGACGGAGACCAGGCGACTCCTGTTGGCCCCGGACGCGATTCGCCCCAATTCGTCCCTGTTTCTGCCACATCAGAACTCGTGCGACTTTGAGGGCGTGAGGACTCTCATGGAAAAACTGATGTGTTGTTGCATGTTGATGGATGACGCAATAATAAATAGAGGAGTGCCTGGTGCAGAAAACATCTCATTGCAACACAGACAAAATTCGTGGCATTTATTAGGAAAAATTACGTGCTGCATTGATACACGTAATTTTTGTTTCGTTTTTGTTGCTGCCCAGTTATGACTGAAATCCCAATGTGGATGTGTAATGTATACAGGTAATGGACTCCCTCTATGACAAAAATCTTGTCCGCAAGAATATCCTGTGCATAATGCCTTTGTTTTTGGTTCAATTGAATTCTCTCCCCCATTTTATTGGGTACTCTGGAAAAAATTATCTTCACAAGGATTTTTCCAGGTCTCTTGCATTTTTGTAGAGAAATTACACCTGTATTTCAAACGCGTGTTAGTTTAAATAAAATTTTAATAAAATTAAATGCTGGAATCCAAAATGACCTATTGTTGTATACAGGTGGACTCTGAATACAAGAGAGTTCACCTTTATTTCAAACACTCCCTGAGTTTGAACATAGAACACACACTTTAACAAAATTAAAAGCTGGAATTCTACAATTAAATTCAAGGGACCAGAAAAACAGTGTTGTTTGAAAGAATTTTGATGTAGAGAACCCCTATGACATGGGGAGAGAACTCAAAGTGACCAACAATATTTTTTTTTTACAGAGAGAAAATCATTGTAGACAAGATTGTTGTACAGGGAGAATGAAATGCATTCAGCATTTCTGGCTTTATAATTCTTTGAAACATTGCGTTTTTTTTATACTGTAATATCAACAAATGAAACTGATACATGCATCACATATGTGCAAGAAGGATGGCTTATCAATTACAGTCAACCCCCATCTAACGGACTTGATTTGTGCAAGAGACGAGTCTGTTAGACAAAAAGTCCTTTACACGAATTCAATTACATAAAAAATTAAAAAATTTAATTTTCGACACTAATTTTAAACCAAAATAAGTCTGTTTGGCGGATTTTGTCTGTTGGGCAGGAGGAAAAACTACTTGCAGAGCTGGTCTGTTGGGCAAAAATCCCTTACACGGGAGGTCTGTTAGGTGGGGGGCCACTGTAGTGTGAACAATAGCAATTTTATCTAGATTAGAGCAATACATATTCCTTAGCCAAATGTTTAGGCAAGAACATTCGAATTCATCAATTCGTGAAACAATCAAAATTCTTCTTTTTTTATTTCACTTTTTATTCAGGAGAATTTTCCCCAGAAACTCCCATGACCTGCTACACCAGCACTGTCAGGGACGACGGAAAGCAAACCGAACCTTTTTGCAACTTATCTAGGATCTCCCGAAAGTTTCGGCTTCTTTGTTTCAAGCAATCTTCGTTGCATGTTCATGTACTACAATTTATGGAAACTGCTCCGTGAAAAAAAAAGGAATTTCTAAACTCCAAGTCCACGAATTTTCTTCTTTCCAGGGCAGATAAAAAAAACATACATTATTTGGGAAGATCATGGTTTGTAAAATTCAAGATAGCTGTCTTGTTTAGCATGAACGATTATTTTTATAATTCTGTGTGTCCAAAAAGTGCGCTTTTGAAAAAAAAAAGATTCTTGGACATATAATCCGAATATGACGAATACTTTTGGAAAGCCCACGGGCCGCGTGAAACCTGCGTTGACGGCTCCGCATTTTCAATATTGACAAGATCTTTCATTTCTGCAACACGTCAAAGCATAATGGGATTTGATAGCAGGTAATTTATTCACGCCAAAAAAGAGGGCTTTCGGTAAAACACGACTTTCTTTTTTGTGCAGTTCATTGACATCGTTTCGAAGCTATGCACGACTCCGTTTCAACTAATTATGTCAAACCTAGGTCATTATACTCATGAATAACCTACAGTATTATATTTCATTTCATTGCAGGAATTTTTAAAGCACTTTTTGGCGAAATAAACGAGCGATCGAGAGTTTTTTTGTGTAAATCGCGTTCTCTCTCAACTGGGTTTCCCTCAGGAAATATATTGTCTCAAAAATAAAATGTCAAAACTTTTAATTGCACGAAATATAATTAAAATTTTTGATTATATTCTTGGTTTCACGATATTTTAATTGGTTTCATTATGAGATCAAATCTAGTTTGAGACTGTATATGCAATCAAATTTTCATTGTGTTCTTTTAAGAGCTGATATTTTACTGTATGATTTCACAAGGTACCATGAGAACTCAATAGAAACATATTTCGTATACTGTACACAGAAATGCAGTGAAGATAAAAATTTATATTAATTTAAGGGTTATGAAGAATAAACATTTCATTAATGACACATTTGCTGAGCCTTTTTTGATGCTTGCTTCAATTGAAATATTGGCAACTCTATTATTTATAGTGGATTATATGGTATTGGAGCAGTCATCATAGCTAGCTCAACTCCTTCTTATTATTGAAATCGAAAGTATTTGCTGAAAATGACTTCGACAACAATATGTGCATGCTCGAATTATGATACTGTATCTTGTTTAGCCAGCTTGTCGCACTTGTCTGTACAGTATATGTGTTACTGAGCTAACTTTTTACTAACAAGAGCAATTTTCGAATTAACAATGTTTTCATGCTGTTCACATTGTTTTTCCATGTTCAAATCAACCAGATTTTTCCAGTAAACTTTTCTTTACATTAATACGTATTTTGAAAACTGCAAAATCATGAAAAGGGAGGTTTGTTGTAATGAATTATGAAATTTTGTCGTAACAAGATTTTTAGCATTATATCTCTATATAGAGTTTGGGTTTGAATTTTGAAGATTTGAGAAATTGACCTTGAGAAATTAATTGAAATTCTATCCGTTGCAAAGTATTAAGATGCAGTATGTATATGTGTACAGTACATTTCATGTATCAATGAAATGCTTTCGGCGCATATTATTGCACATCAAAATACGCAGCGCACGACTTGTCCATGGGAAAAATTCAATATATAGACAGATTATCAGTGTGGGACCAAAAATCCCCCTCCATTCCTCTCTCCCTCTTCATTTCTGAATTTCCACCATGCTGGTTTCGATACTCATAATCCCAAGATATTCTTCTATTTTTTTTTAATCCTGTCTCGATGCCTTGCTTTCTGACTATCTGCTCTTATTTGTACGCATTTTTTATATTTTTTTCGCGCTTGCGCGTGGCTTTGATAGTTTTCTTTGACTTCTTGCAACCCGCAGAGAAGTGAATCCCAATCACGTGGTGAGCGAGTATATAAAACATCCCGCAACAATGGAAGATGAGAGAAGTTTTGCTACTTTTTGTCAATACTGTACAAGCAATACTGTAATTGCAGTCACGACAGAAATTGATAAACATACGATTATGCCACTTGTACGCTTCAAGAATAATAAGTACGAACGCCAAAAAAATATTCCCGTTACTGTATTTCAGTTAACAACTAATCTTACAGCAGTTGATTACCCGAGCATTTTTTTAAATTAGCATTTTTATAAAGACTTCCATAAATTCCTATCATTGAGACCTCAAGTGTGATATATGCACCTCACAATTCACCCCTAAATATTTGCATTAATTTTTTCCTCCCAGTAAGATGTCCATTTTTTAATTAAAAACTTGCAATACATCAAAAGGAAGAAAATCAATGAAAATTTCAATTTTTACCAATCATATACAGTATACAGTAAAATGTTAATAATTATGTGTTAGAAGGGTCTAGTATTTTGCGCATGTAACTTATAGGTATAAGGCGCACCCAAACTGCAAAAAGTTGAAAACCTTTACACCTGTTTTTGTTGCACAACCCTTATTTGTTCTTCTTGAATTTGAATCAAGGGGGAAATACGGTAAACAATTGCTGATGCTGATGCAAATAATAATCAGGTCCTTCATTGGTGTTTTATCCGAAAGTTTCATCATGCTTAATGAGTTGATGTTCATTTCTTGAGGTTGGGCATAAACTTTTACATGTTCAGATGTCCTGAAAAAATATTTTATCATCCAGAAAAAATGTGGTTGAAAGCCCTCCAGTCTAGACCAGTGGTTGGCAACCTGTGGTCAGCAGACCACCATCAGTCTGTAGAAGTTTTCTGCCAATGTGCAAGACATTTTCTTTAGCATAACAAATGTCTCAACAAAGGTTGTAATGAAGTCTGTTATCTTTATCTAACATTTCAGAAAGAAAATGGCAGCTGAAATCATCTGATGAAAAATTAAAATTTGGCTTTTCTCTGATAATAATGCTTCAGACAAATTTTCCCCTGCTGAAATAATTAATTCTAAGAAGCCTTTCTTGAATGCAAGCACAAAGAACCAAAATGGGTTCTCAAATTAATTTTTGTAATTAACTTTTTTGACTTCATGGCAGGTATGTTTGAACAATATCCGGTGGTCTGCTAAAACTTTACGGAAGTTCGCCAGTCTTTATAGGCTCAAAAAGGTTGGGAAAGACCAGTTTCCAGACCACAGGGACACTTTTTCACGGCTAGACAGGTTATGCCCTCCTATTCTGGGATGGTATAGTTATATACACGCCAGTTTTCTTATTATTACAGTATTATTATTCCTCTCCTGCCCGACGAACGAACGACATTCCGTTTCTCGCTCGCGCACCTGTCGACGACATCGCCGGCTATCGTCGCCCGTCATCGCGGGCCTTCTTTTTCCTGCCCCCAGCACTCACTGGGTACCGGGTTTCCCCCCTCCCCGGGCAGGATAACGACCGAGATAAGCGCCTGGGATATGAGCCATTTCCCATCGCCGGACGGGACTTCTTTTCTTTTATACGGCGTGCGTGGGTCTCTTTCTTTTTTTCAGAATTCATGTCTACCTCTTCCTCAGCTACAGTACTGCATCTCTTAACTTTTTTTTCTCTCTCTCTCTTTCTGTCGTCTTATAACTGGCTTTTTATCTGGGCGACGTTTGCAAATACGGACTAGTTTCACAGCGGGATACCCTATAAAAATAAAAAAGCGAGGGACTGAGGGGATGATTAAGTGCGAGGCGAGGGATGCAAAATGGTAGGACTTTCTGATGATAATTGCGAGTCTAATTTTTGATTATCCAGGCTAGTGGCGACAAGATGCCCTTACCAGAATAATAAAAAAAAACAATGCTCTTTACAGTGAAATACATCATTTCCTACAAATCTTGTCATGACAAAGGCTTTTTTCCTGTTCCTGCATCATTACAAGCGGAACCTGCCAACTTGACCCTAATCCATTTGCTGGACTAAGGTCAAATTGCAAAGCAAAGTCAAATGGCATGTTTTCAACATGGAATATGATGTTTCATGTCTGCCCACAGGTTGAATTGTGCAGCAGAGGTTGAATTGAGAGTCAACCTCCCAGCAAATTTGTCTGTCAAATTGTGGGACAGTTAAATTGCAGGATTTTGAATCATGAGGTACCACCTGTATAGTCAAAACATTGAGACTCAATATTAAAAAATATTATCACAAAAACTTGTGTTTCTTCTGGTCCCAGCAGTGGTTTCAAAATTCTGAAGGAGGGTCAACCTCTCACATTCAAAAGCTTCCTAACTCAATTTCCAGTAATCCCCATATGGAGTTTAACCAGGGATTTACTGGAAATTGAGTTAGGGTGTATTAATTTTTAAAATATTTTTAATTAGGCCATTGCATTTTGTAATCTCCCTAACTCCAAAAATGTTGGCACTAACCTCCCTAAGTAAAATTTTCCATTTGCTTTGTGCTAATAAACGTTTGCTACATTTCAGAACACCTGATCCAGAATATATATGTACAATTTTATTCCAATGTTCTCCGCGAGGACTTTGGCAACTCCTTGCTGATATGCTTGAGATTGATTAAGTTGTTCAATAATTACAGTAAAAATTATTTTCACTGATTAAATACATTAAAGAATAAATTATTACCCTGAAGAAGAAGAATTTCCATTTTAGATCATCTTCATGATTTCATTATTCAGCAGGCTGGCGCATTTCAGCCATATTAGTTCGATTACGAGAGATTCTGCTAAATTCTCTATAGACATGATTAGAACATTCAAGAAATGCAACGTTTAAATTGAGAGTATTTATTGGCATGTGATAACACTGTATTGCATTGCATTTTGGACTTTTTCTAATATAAAATATGGAATCATTTTTATTGCCGTTGGGTGGATGATCGCTGCTGTTGTTGAAATGTTTCAGTTGGACAGAATAAACAAAGATGCTAAAGATATGAGTATACGTAGGTAACATTACGGTGCTATACAGAGATGCTGCTTGCTCATTATTTTGTCAGACAATGGTGGAATTCTCTTCCTTTCGAATTTAAAGTTGTACAGTATCTCGCAATAAACTTAGTTTCTTCGTCATTTCACCCCTGGTGAATCAACCCTTGCTTACGCTGTATATGCTCCGCAACTGTCACGCTTTTTCGACACCGAAGCAATTTCCCCCCACGGAAGCCACCTGCTGTTTGTCAACGCACCTGCAAACACAAGTCACTTCAAGATTGCCAGGATAACCTCAAAAAGTTTTTGCAAACTAAAAGTCATGCCTGGCATTATCACGGCCTGGTATTTATTCATTAGCATGGGAATTGCGTGATACTGTATATCGATAATCAGCGGGTTTCGTGAAAGATGTCCTTATGGCCCGTATACGCCGGAAATTTAGAAATATTGAAGTATAGGCACGGATGTAAGCCTCTTTTGCTCATGTGAAAGTCCCCGGGGTTTAGTTGGAAGATTATACTGTATTTTCAGGAGTTCAATATCGAGACGGGTTCCTGTACTGTATTAGGAAATTGGCTCTTGATTGTTTACGACAGTTATATAGTTGCTGATGCATTAACTTATAGGTACCAGCAGGACCCACGCACTTTTTTTTCACAAAAATCTGGACCAAAAAGTGAGTTGCACATCATATGTAAGAAAATTTTAAAATTAGGGATGATGAATGTACGCGCGTGTCATACTCAAATAACAGAGAGAGATTGCGCAAATCCATAAGAACAGTAACTTTATGCCTCTAGTTTTGGCTACTTCTGTTATATGTTTCTATATATGGATACTGCCTTTGGATTCTTATCATACTGTATATGGATGACACGCAAATTATACGAGCATTAAATTTTGTGAAACAAATCCAGCAGATTCAGAGATGAAACGCGTACATGCTGTACTCCGGAGTCCGGAATAATGTATATGCATATGTACCATGCGTACAGAAAGAATGCAACTTATTCGATTCTGTGATAAACAAAATCCGCCGAATCTTATTGAAGAGGTCAATTCCAACGAAGATAGCATATACGGGGAATGCGCTAATACCGTAATATGGAAATATTGTGCTGTAGAAAGTATTAAATTTGCTGTTGAGACAAATCTTGATCCGACATCTACGGGAAGACGACAAGAGTTTTCAGCTGCTGTACTGAGTGTACTGTCCCAAACTCTCAACTCATACCCTTAAACGTCGTAAAACAATTAAATTTGATTGCTGAAAGAGCGACATCTAGCTTAAGTAATACTAGCCTAACGATTACTCGCCGATTGTAGAGGCCTGTAGTGCAGTACTGCACTGTACAGTACTGTATTGCTCTCCCCTCTTAGAACGCACATATTGTGGGGTCGTGCAGTAATCCCAACCAAAAATCGCATCAAGTGGAAAGTCAACGTTGCATCTTTACCTGGGAATTCCCTCGCTGTAGTATCGTGCCGAGGCTTGGCGAACGGAAAATCTCAGGCGAACCCGTGAAAGATTGGCTGCGTACCGGCTAGTAACTCCGGGTTGCCCTTGGAAGCTTTTTCGGGTTTTCACGGTGAGGTATCCGCATGCGCTCGATTTCTGATCAAATGTGCTTGCGTTAGGGAATTATTTTCGTTGGAGTGTTGTTTCGGAGGTAAGCCGAAAGGAGCTTATATGTGTGGAGTTCGTGTGAATGGATGCGTTGGTTTCCAGAAGAAGTTACCTTTTTTGACGGAAGTGGGGTTTTTCCCGTGGAAATTTAAATCGTAATCTTGCTTTAGTAAGAAACGAGGAACGCCTGGATCGGCTTCATGTCATTGTTGCACTATACCCCAGTGTCGTAGTTTTCTGGTCTGAATTTCGCGAGAAGTAATTTCTTCTATATTGCAGGTTGCATTGTACAGCTACACTGACTCGTTCATTGCGGAATCGATATCTCGTAATCCGCTCATCATAGCACGATGGCACTACACTGTGCAAGTAAGTACCGCATAGGCTGTATTTTTTTGAATTGCTTAACTGTATTATTCAATTTCAGTTAGCAATCAAGTACCGGAAGTGCCCGTCGTCTCGCCGGTATCCGGATGTATCTTCGAACGCCGACTGATCGAGAAATATCTTACGGAACATGGAACAGATCCCATTAATGGAGAGAAGCTCACGACGGAGATGCTGATTGAAGTGAAAAGTGAGTAATTTTTGGAGTTCCCGTTACGCTCCGTGAGCAACATTTGATCTACAACTCGTTGGTTTCAGCTCCCAGCATCGTGAAGGGAATGCCTCCATCTGCGACGAGTATACCAGCGATTTTAAAAACGCTGCAGGACGAGTGGGATGCTACGATGTTACAATCTTTCAACGTAAGACAACAGCTTCAGACAGTGCGTCAGGAACTTAGGTAACAATTTTAGCGCTATCGAAGCTATCACAAATCATTGCTCGAGTATCATTCACAGCCATGCCTTGTACCAGCAAGACGCTGCTTGCCGAGTCATCGCAAGATTGAACAAAGAGGCAACGGCTGCTCGTGAAGCTCTTGGTACGTTGAAACCACAAGCAGCGATTCAACCCCTCGCGCCCCATGGTCAGACAGTAAGTTTCACCACACATTTGGTTGTACAGTAATTTTAGAAAATCAAAATCTCACGTTCTGTTCGCAGGTTCCAGAACCGCATGTTTCGGCGGCTCTGAACATTGTGGGACAAGTTCCTCTTGGCGAGGAAACTTTGAAAGTATTACAAGAAACTGCGAATATGCTTACGTCTCAGCGTAAACAGCGTGGCAAAGCCGCTCCTGCAGAAGTGGCCTCGCTAGAAGACATCCAAAAATTCCGAAATATCTCGTCACACACTGTGCGTAAAATTTATGAAGGACGAAGAAGAAAAAAGCGTTTGATGAGATTTGTTGTGTGTTCTCAGGGGCTTCACAGCGTTAGTGCGCCGGGAATATTAGCTTTGGATGTTCACGCAGCGGATACAAGCAAACTCATCACCGGAGGCAACGATAAAACTGCTGTCGTCTTCAACAAAGACCTAGAACAAGTTATTACTGTTCTGAAGGGGCATTCTCGAGAAGTTTCCCATGTTATTTATCATCCTACGGAAGACACGGTGTTGACTGCATCATCTGACGCCACCATTCGCGTTTGGCATGTACCTACTAGTCAAACCGTTAGTCTAATTCGTGCGCACAACGGTCCGATCACGGGAATTTCTTTGCAAGCTACGGGAGACTTCGTCGTTTCTACATCTAGCGACGAATATTGGGCGTTTTCTGATATCAGGAGCGGTGGAAAGGTTTTGACGCGTGTAAGTTGCGTTTGCCTCTTTTTAGATCACAATTGGAGTGATTTCTGGTATTTTTCCTCATCTTCTCGTGGATTCAGGTTTTTTTTTCTTCTGTGCAGTAGCGCAAAATCATGTCTTGATGAAATTTCAGGGTACCTGTCAAGTTCCCTTCACGAGTGCGAGGTTCCACCCTGACGGTCTCATTTTCGCTACGGGAGCAGCAGATTCTGTCGTCAGGATTTGGGAACTTAAGGAGCGCAACAATGTTGCAAACTTCACTGGTAAAGTGGACAGCTGATCCGGCTCTGTAGTTCGCATGATTCATTGAGTAATTTTAGGTCACTCGGGGCCAATCACGGCGATCTCATTTTCGGAAAACGGTTACTATCTTGCTACCGCGGCGACTGACTCGTGCATCAAGTTGTGGGATTTGCGTAAACTGAAAAACTTCAAGACCATCAATTTGGACAGCAACTATGAAGTGAAGGACTTATGCTTTGATCAAAGTGGAACGTATCTCGGTGTCGCGGGAAGTGACGTGAGGTTAGCTGTTCTTTGATACTGAATATTCTATGTTAAAATCGCGCGATATTTCCTGGTTGAAAATATTTTTTTTGTCTTTTCGTAGAATTGAATTTTTCATTGAATTTTTTTATGATTCAATGAGCTTCTATAATTTTCTTTTCAGAGTATATCACTGCAAATTGTGGCAAGAATTGAAGGTCTTCAACAACCATACTGCGGACGCCACAGGAATCAGATTTGGCAAGGATGCCGGGTACATCGCATCTGTTTCTATGGACAGGACTTTGAAGACATATGGTCTTTAATGCAGAAGATGACTTTCCTTTTGTGTATCTTGTTTGCCCAATCTACTGGGTGTTTCTTCAGCTTTTATTTGCTACGTTTCAGAGTTTGTATTCACTTGTCAGACTGGCAGGCCAAACTTTGAGTTTCTTTTAGAAAAAGAAAATGAAATTAAACTGCCATGCTGTTTTTATTTGTGTCTGTCCTCGTTGCTATAATTTTTTTTTTTGACAAACGTTTGTTTCGGTTTTCTTTAGATATTGATGTTCTTTATTGTACCGGGTTTGAACGATGGTTACTTGAGGGAAAAGGGTGTTCTTGATTATGTACTCAAAATACCCTCGCCGTTCGTACAAAAGTGAGTTGAATGTTTTCATGCTTCATTTAAGAGGAAAATTCTTAGTGGGTATCTGCTGTGGTTTACAGGTTATTCAAATGCTGAGGACCGCGTGGAGCTTGATTTCGAAAAAGGTTGGGAAAGCGCATTTTTTATAAATCAAGTTTTTATCATCATTTTGATTTTTGATGTGCAGATAATGAAGCATTGCTTCAAGAGTTGCTAATTGCGGTTGTTGGCGGAAATGGGATCTCTTCCGTTAGCTCTCGCAAGGGGAAATTACGTGGGCACCTGGTGGCGTTCATTAAATATTGCAATCACAATGCCGAAAATCCTCAACGATCACCATCCTCCTTGTCCTTGATTGAGCAGTTATTATGGTTTGTATCTGAATTCAAACTGTGTATGCGTCACGAACCTTCATCCCTAGAATTTAGTTACGAGTAAGGTGCTCGTTGCGGCGTTGTTAACGAATACGAAGTCCAGGGTGACTTTTTTTTTCGAAAAAAATTACGCGTCAATAGGAGTAAACGTGATAAATCATTTTTAAAGCTTGCAGGCTTTTCAAATTTTCTAAGCTTTTGCTCAAATTTCATCCTCAGCTTTCGAACTACGTTACTTCACGAATCCTGTGAAATTCGAGCGTCTGGGTTAAGATGCATCCGATACTTGATGAGAACTCGGTTGGACGCGGAGAAATGTATCCTTTGTCGCATCCCGACTTTTATTGCCAGGTGAGTTTCATTTTTAAAATGCATACGTAATGGAGAAATTAGTGAAGGATCTGCCCAATTTAAGAATACTGTATAGCACAGTATTTCATTGAATGATCTATTTAACGAATGAATGCATGTTTAAGTCGATCTGAAAAATATTTCTGTGATTTAGCTTGAGACTCAATTTTACGTTTTTAGATCGTTGGACATCATGCTGGACAATCACGGAGAACGAATTCATGCAATGCGGTTAATCCGAAGACTTCTGTATCTTGCTCCGGAAATATTTCCGGAATGCCTTGCTCGGTCGGTAATAGCAATCATCCAGGATGGCCCTCAGCTGAATGACTGGATGTTCAAAGCAGCCCTGGCTGTCGCGTGTGAATTAGGTAATTCAATTTCGCCGACGAATAAGAGGAGTCCTCAAAAATTCCAAACATTCTATTGTGAATAAATATTTTTCATTGTTTGCAAAGCTGATGTGGAGAGAAAGCGGAGCATTTTTTATGTTTATATAATTCAGAGATTCGCAAGATTTTATAGGCAATTCCCTGTAGAAAAAAATGTTTCCTGTAATTTTTGAGTTGTAAAAGTCTGAGAATACAGTTTATATTTTGCCGTGTTGTAGATAGAGTACGGTATTCCGTATTCTTTTCTAATTTATAGAAGTGACTTTTGAATCTATTTTCAGTTCGCCCTTGTTCAATTGCCGTATTGAAGATTTTTTTAAATCATTTTTTTTTCCTGCAGGTATTTGCAATCCTGTGCTTCTCGTCCAGTGCGGAGGAATCACCGCATTAACGCACAGCCTCGTTTACTGTCCGAGCGCGGCTCCTGCCATGGGAGAAGCCGTACTCGGCGTTCTTCTGCACATTCTGAATGGATCTGATACTAGGAAACTGCTGTGCTTGTCGCCGGATGATTTGTCATTGGCTGTGGAAGAAAAATTATCTTTGAATGAAATTCTGACGCGTCGTGTGGTGGAGACGTTGAATCTAAGAGATCCGCTGTCTTTGCTGCATGCTACCATGGCCCCGTTGACGGACGTTCACTATCGGCATTTTTTCGAAGGCGGAAATGATGCTTCGTCTGTCAGGTAATGATTTTTGTTGTGGTTTTGGAAAAAGGGAGAGAAAAAAGTGATGTTTTCATTTTATTTATCCAGTGACGAAAGAGATTCGAATATTCAAACTTGCACTCAAGTTATGCTGTCAGCGTTGCGCTCTTGGGCGGGCATGATCAGTTTTTTCACGAATCCTGACGTGGAATTTGTCAAAACTTCCGCGTATTCGAGACAGCCTCCTTTGAAGTCCATCATCACTGTTCTAGGTGCGAAAGAAAATCAAACCAAGGTAAGCAAATGTATTATGAATTGAAGTACAGTAACATGCTTTACGATTACAGGTCGCTCTTCACGATTCCGACTCACAAAAAAATCAAAGCGCGTCTTGGATTTGCGTGTAAAATCAATTGTCGATTAAATTTTTGGCATGGAAGTGTTGACATCGAAGTTAATAAATCGGCCTATAACTTAGCGCCGAGGAAAATTTCAATCTTGATCACAACTAAATGCGCATTAGTCGCTCAAGTACAATGTTATGAAGTTTTCATTTTTCAGAATGCGATTGTGCTGTGCCTTTTCGAACTCTTCCAAATCCCGATTCCGGAATGGACTGATGATTTTCTGGAAGCATTGCAGTCATCAGATCCGAGTAGTGCGCAAGACTCGTGGAAGTTGTTCGAAGGATTCGTAGCAGCTGAAGGAAATGCATTAATTCCGTTGCCGGCAACTACGAGGTGTTTCTCAAAGTATTCTGAAAATGTTTTTTTTTTGTGACGTATTTTTTCATTCATTCAGACCCCGGTTGGCAAAAAATCATACGGCGCTTCTTCTCAGTACATTTGTTTCAATCGGAGTGCTGGAGGGTTTGGTCAGAGTCGTTTTGGAGAACAAGTCCCTGCTGTCGATCAGAGCTGTGATTTTGCTTGGTGAACTCCTGCATCTAAGCGAAGTGTTACTGCCGCCGAAAGTGTGTCTTGTTGAGCGTCAGTCGTGTTTGAAGCAATTGATCGCTGTCGGAACCGATACGAAGTCGGCACCGGAAGAGCGTGAGCGGGCTCTACGCAGTCTGTCAGCATTGGCGAGAATTCATCGTCTCAAGAAACGACCTCCTCGTCCGCATTCTGTGTTCCTCGAGCAATTGATGACGTTTTCCAACTACAATAACGTGAAAGTGATCGGCATCAAACATCAGGATGCATATCCCAGCGTTTTACAGAGTCAGAAATCATATGTTTCTATTCACTCTCCGTCTCCTGCGAGGGATCAGGTTCGGGGATTTTTTTCATCTTTACTGCTGGAAAGAGTTTTGTTACTCATCGTAGTGCAGTACTGTAAATCTAAATCGCTTTAAAAAAAGTGTCTGGAATAAATTAAGGAAATATCTTTATGTAATTGTTACTCTTTCGTTTTTCTTGATTTACAGTTCTTGCATTTTTGCAGTTCTAAAATCGAACTAAAATAATTTGTCCATTCTGTACTCGTATTTCCATGCTCCAGTTTAATCAAGTTCCACGCGGCCTAGGGTCTTTTTTGACCCAAAGGAAATTTGGGACCGTCTAATTTTCGGCGAAACCCGATAACATTTTTCTAGATTGCATAATCTTCTGCAGATATTCTTATGATTCAAGATGACTACACAGAGTGGATTAATTTAGTTGAAGTAATTTTTCGTCAGCAGAATTCGAGGAAAGAAAGGGAAGAAGGATATGCTACAATCGTGGATGAAACGGGTGTGTTGCTTAAAAGTGACGAATTCACTCAGTGGAACTGGAATGCGCTTTCTGCATTTTTAGTGGTGAGTAAAAATTCGGATCTGTTGTACTACATACGGGAAATGTATGACGTGGTCATGATTTATCATTATTATGAATTCCAGAGTCCGAACGCAAAATTCAAGCGTTACTGGGAAGATCCCTCGAGTAAAGCCTTGTTGAACCGACTCTTGGCGTTTTTCAAACCAAGCTCGATGCAATACTGTGGAATGGAAGTTGGGCACGAATTGGCAAGGATATGCACATCTGTGTGTTGCTCACTTTTAGGGTTTCTCACGGGAACTGATGATGCAAGTGAAAATCATTAGTACAAATTAGAATCCTTTGGATAATCAGCTTTCCTGTAATCCTCTAGCCTGAGGGCGCGCGATTGCTGGAAGAATTCCTCCTGGATGTCCGAGCTGAACTTGCCGCTTTAGTTGGAGAAAAGATGAACAAAACTTCAGCTTTATCGTCGTCTCGTGTCCACAATTCGATGGCTCAATCTTATTTCTTATTCTTGGGTCGACTGACTCGGTCCAGTCGCGGAACAAAAATCATGAGCAAGCTTGGAATTCTTCAAATGTATGCTACATATTTTAATCTTGTAATTTATGTTATTCAAGTGATGGGATTTTGTTTAGGTTGTTGGACCTGGCGACGCAGAACACGCACGACAGTCATTTGAAGCTAATAATTTCTTCCTTGGATTACACTACTAGTGATGTTTGTCGATCCATTCTGGACAGTGTTCTTAAGAATGAATCGGAAACAGCTCGTTTGTACGCCACCCATTTTCTGGAATTGCTGGCGCGTCTTGAAACATCCGATTTCCACTTGTGGGGAACCCAGATGCTGATCAATCAATTGTATGATCCAGCTAGTTCCATTTCTATGGCCGCATCACGAATCATTGACAAACTTTGCGATAACGAACTGTATCTCAACACGGTGATTGACCTGAAACCTGCGGTGCTACATTTTGGAGAACGGGGGTTGTTGATGTATATCAGGTTTTTAAGCGTGCCAAAAGGATTTTATTTATTGAAGGAGAACGGGTTCTTAAATTCTGAGCTTGCCAAGTGGAAAGACGGTTGGAATCTGAGGTAATTTGAAAAATTCTTCCGGGTTAAGCTCTTCGTCGAAATTTTTTATTTATTTATAGGTATGTAAAAATACTTGAGAGCTCTTTGCACGATGCCTTCAGCTATTATCAACGTGGTGAAGATGGAACTTACGGTCGTCGGACGAACGATCATCATCAAGTTGGAGCTTGTCGCCTTGTGCCTCATCTTTATGGAGAACTCGCACGACATCAAGAAGGTCTCGACTATTTGTTAGATCGCGAAGGGCATGTCTTGACAGAATACTTCGAGGTATGTATTTGCGCAAAATTTTCGCAATATTGAGGAGTTCTGCTTTGATACATATTTTTGAAATCTCCCCAGTTGATACTGAAGGCGTCCAAGATCTCCAGTGACACGACGTGCGTGGATTTCATCGCGAGTGACCCGTTGAAATTGCTTGAACTAAAAGCTGCAATCTGGGCGATCGGACATTTGTGTTTCTCTGAGTGCGGCGTGCTGTACGTGATTGCGAAGCACTTTGAAGTAATACCAGCTATGGTACAATTAGCTGCATATTCTCCAATGTTTTCTGTGCGAGGTACATGTTTCTACGTTCTCGGGTTGGTGGGAGCAACTCCACCTGGTGCAGCACTTCTGGCAGAATACGGTAAGGTTCAAATTCTTTCTGCTTTTTTGAATATTTCGTTGTGTTAGGTTCAGGGCAACTTCCATTGCTTCCCAAAAAAATGAATAATTCGTAAAATAATACCTAGCTTACTTCGCATGTACCTCATTTAATTTAATATGAAGTCAGAAATAAGCATTGGTTAATATCAATGACATTTGTGTAATATGCAGGGCCAGCAATTCAGGATGTTCGGGATTAAAGCTTTTTTCCGAATGTTTTAAAGGCACAAATACAGTATTACGGAGTTTTGAACGTCAGCTTTTCCACATTCATAAATATTTTTTGTTCCATGATTCTAACTGATATTGAAGTAATAAATGTTTCTGTTACTTTTTTCGTCCTATTTCTTGTGTTTGGCATCTAGGTTGGGAGTCTGTTCGAATTCGTAGCTCGGAGAGTTGGCCAACACGGTACTGGGAGGAAACAAGCACAGATTCAGGCTTAGAATATTCGTTTGTGAATGCCGGGAAATTGTCCTCTTTTGCCGGATTTAGTGGCTTATGGGATGAATTGGACTCGTCATCCTTCGAGAAGTGAGTTTATTGCTGTACAGAAAATGAATCAATTATTTACTTAGAATCTACAGAGATGGTCTCTTGGTCTCTTCTTACTAAGGAGACTGTATCTGTTTTAATGCATTCCTGACATATTCAGCCATCACTAGGCTTACCAAAAACCGAATTAACGCTGACCTATGAATTACAGTACAGTATTGCACTTAAGTAACAATACTTGACGTAGGCTAACCGAAATTTTCTTAACGAATGTGGACCTGACGAAATCTGAATATTTCAGCAACCCCTTGATGAAACCAAGAAAAATAACGTTCGAGTTTGAGTGTCTCGAAGAGGATAGAATGAAGCATTTTGGTAAAAAAAAATTAATTTGATTCACCAGACTTCGTTCCGGAACTGAAGGGTCATCCATGGATGAGTTGATGGCGCGAGCTGCACAATACGGAAGAAGCCGCAGTTCTAATTCGTTCGGCGAGAATGTTTGGGCCGACACGAACGCATTAAACCGTTTCAATACCGTGAACTCTAACGCCGCCAAAGTGACGGCGAGTAAAAATGACCAAGAATTGGAAGTTACTGGGACGAATGATGACGTTTCAAAGCAGCTATCGCCGACGAAACTTGCAAGGTCTACATCGAAAAAATTTTCAGTTGTATTCGTGATGGTTGATTTATAAACTGGAGGCTGTTTCGTTTGTGGGAATACTGTATTCTCTAAATTTGAAAATTATTGCTTTTTATGCTTCAGAAATCGGGCAATGACGACTCCGTCGAATTTTGGAGCGGAGTTGGTGAATGGTGATTCAGATTTGGCTTCTGATTCAACTTCCGTGCAAGATTCCAAGTTCCGAAAAGGAAAAGAATGTGCAAGGAAACTTGCCCCGTTGGTAATGCTAACCCCGCCGTCCCGCATAGATTCCAAGCATGGGAAGGCTTCAAGTGATTCAGTTCTTCTTGAGATTGATCATCTATCTCCGACGTCCGACCGTTCAACGCCCGATTTCTTTCGGTAACGATTTGTTCTAGTTCACGGAGAAATTTGCATTTTGGAAATTTTTTTGTCCTGCCTTCCGTCGATTTAAGTTTAAAATTTGATTCTGCTTCAATTCATTTAAATTCTTTTTCAGAATTTTTCTTATTTTACTTTTTTCAGGATTAATGAAAACGAAATACTACCTGGCGATCACGACATCTGTGATGTGAACAATGGTATCAAGATTTCCGACAATGAAAAGCCCATAAATGTGGATGGTTCCGGTGATAATTGTGCGTATGGTGAGTTATTTATATCTACAGTATCTAGATCTATTCTTGATCCGAATTCATTCAACTTTTTTTCTGCTCCTCCGTCGATTATACTCAATACTGTATAAGTTAATGCCGAACGTTTTGAACCTTTGCCAGTTCGAATGCGACCGAAGGTGATCGCCACTCCAAAATCAGCTGGAACTGAGGAGAAGTCAATGTTTAGAAGCTTGCGCTACTCTCGAAGACCTGAAATTGTTTCACTGCCCTATGAACTTCCTCTCCAAGGGGCCAATTATACGGGTACCCGACAGTCGGGTGGTTCGTTTTTCCGTGAGCTTCTACATTATCCGTCGAGACATTCTGCATCTCTATCTCCTACAAAATCGCCAACAACTCATTCTGCTCCAGGAAAGAGGCAAGTTTTTATACTGAGGCGTTGAGCTTAAGAGAAGTACATTTCGCAGTGCACTACAGTACTATACAGTGACGCTCGACTTCAAAAAGGGGACTTTTTTCAATTTCATGCTCATGCAAATTTTAATGTTCCCTTCTTAATGTCGTGGTTAGAAATCTTTGTCCGGGATTAGAAAAAGTGTCCCCTTTTGTGTCCTCGAGTCGAGTGTACGCTGGATAGTAAAGATGTATTGTAATGTTCAGATAATCGATTCAATGCTCGTTGATCTTCAGTTCAAGAGGATGGCCGCATTTCAGCATTCGCCGGGGTCGAAAATCAGAAAGCGATATTGGCATGGACTTATGCCCAAATCTTTCGAAAGCCGAGATACATGGAACACTGGAAAGCCCCACGAGTCCGACCGGCACGAGTCCATCCTTCTTCAGGATGATTTCATCCAGAAAAAGCTTATTCCGTAGAGTTTCGCGTAGGCCCAGTGTAGATGCCTCTGTTCCTTCAAAGTCCTTGCAAAGGTCTTCCGAGCTCTCACTGCATGGAAGCAATTCCCGAGTAGAATTTGCCGATATTCCAGAGATTCCGTCTAGAGCAAAATTAGTTTCTGATGCGAGGAAGGCGGAGGACGCCACGGATGATCGCGTTGACGCCGGCGTTCAGTACGTCGGTGTTGCGTTGCCTGTTAGTTCCTCGGTTCTTTTAAGCGCGACTTCGACTCGATTGAATCAGAAGCAACTGGCGGTCTCTCAGAAAGACGTCGAAAAAAGGCTTTTCTCCATCGGTGAAGAAACTATTTCGGAAGAGTTCGCTGGTAATTTTTTTTCCCCCTCAAAATCGATACGAAAGTAAAAGGTTCGTTCATTCCATACTTTATACTTCATTGAAGGAACCAATTTTTTGGATACCGGGGATATGCGGCAGAGATCGAAGACGCAGGCAAGCTCGTTTCGCTTGAGTGGATCTTCAGGGGCGAGCAAGTGGAACGATCCTGACCGAGATTACGACGAATCGGAGTCAAGAACAATATCTGAAAGAGTTCTGAATGGAGTTCTGTCAATTTGCGGCCATGATGAAAATCGTTGTCTCGTTTGTCACAAGATACCAGAGATTACTGAAAAATACGGGTCAATGCCGACGTTTCGGTCGCGGCTGAAAAGTGCGTACTTCTCCGTGTTCGGCGTTATTCGCCGTGTTAGCATTGTATTAATTTAATCTTATATTTTCATCAGACTATATTATGATTGAAGAGGGTGATGGATCAAAAGAAGCGCTTGTCAGGAAAGAAATTCTGCGAATTGTGGGCAATATGTCTAGTTCAGTCGGCCTGAAGACAGCGGAGCGGGAATTGCTGATGTAAGTAACTTTTAGTGTGCATTTTCTGATTACCCCGGCTTTTCGACTTCCTGAAGTTCAAGATTGAGGCATGTAAATGTACTCAATGAATTTTGCTGTTTTCAAATTTTAATAAATCAGCGAAGTATATGATCAGGGGTCTTGGTATTATTTTTTCATGTAAGAATTTTTAATTTACCATGGTGCTCATAACATTATCGATGGAATTCACAAAGATTTTTTTACAATTTTCGGAAAGGAAATTGAAATGAACTGTTATTTGATGCTCTCCTAATTGTTAGCCTTTACTTCTAAAGTGATAGCTCCGTTTAAAAAGTGTTGAAAAATCTTATGATTTTTCAATTTTTCCGCAAAATTCATTCATTTTTATCCACACCAAGTTCCCAAATCGTTAAACGGCATGGATTGAAAATATCATCTGCAGGTTGAAACAGAAGTACACCGCGTTGCTGAAAGATCCCTGTCTGTATTCGGAAGTGGCCGCGCTTCTGGGCGAGTCGTGTTTTCGACTACAAACAAGACGTTTCCTGCAGGAATTGTTTTTGGATGTTGACTTCACGACTTTTTACATTGTACCGCGGCTAATCTTGGGCATCGGAAGCTGAGAACGTGGGGGAAAGATTAGTATTGGTGGGACGCTTTAGTTCAAGCAACAGCGGCGAACGTAAGTTTAGGTTTACTCATTTCTTCGTGTTTCATTCAAGAGCTGTGATCGTCGAATTTTTTGGTGTTGGTCGCTCCTGAAGTTTTTCATCCTTGGATGAGTTCGGATTTTAAAGCCAAGATTTTTAGTGATAGCTCGACATCTGCTTTCTTTGTCCCGCTCTTAGTTCACCGGAAAGGCGAGATGTTTTAAAACTATCAAGGACGTTGCCCTGTCGTGTGATTCTGGGATGAAAATTTGTTTCCTTTTTAATTATTGCTGCATTTTAATTTTGTGCCGTATCGACTGGCCCGGCTTGTACTTCTACCAGAGATTTTCGAAATTCACTGCTATCAGTGTTGCCCGTCAAATTATTGCGCTTCTGAATTGTTTTATTTGAGAAAGGTTGAAACGTGAGAACTTCTGGACATTCTTGAGTTGTAGCTTCCTCCTTAATTTTGTAACTTGGATCTCACTTTCTGCCCGGATTCCTGTTGACTTGTCAGTGCAGCGTTTTGATCGAAATCCGATAGCTGCGGGTTGATTTTCCCTGGATATGTTGTGATCATGACGTGTATGCTTCATTACCAGTGCTTTTTCTGGAGAAGTGTTGAGATGGAAGTCAGTTTGATCAATGTTCTTTTACGTTTAAAATCTGCTGATGCCGGAATTTTGTTGACGGAGCAAGAATGTCGGATGTACGCAAGGTATTCGCCGATTTTTAAGATTCCGTTCAGATTCAAGGACGTGAAATGTGGCGTTATTATTTCCGAATGTTGATTGAGATGATCGTTGTCATGAGAATGATTGAACCGGGCACATCCAATACAAGTATACATTATTTTTTGATGAAAGAATATGCGTTTTTATTTCGTTTTACTGTGCTTCGAATGTGTCTGCTGTTCTAACCAGCTTTTCAAATCATGAATTCAACACCTTTTTGGTCGTTCTACGGGTGGACGCGCATGCTGCACCGGAATTTTCAAACAAGTTTAACCTTTCAACATTTTTTTACTGGATCTTTTTTGCATGGGAAGGATAAATTTTCAATGCTGTAGTTCATAAACCCCAAAATGTAAGGATGCCTCCTGAACTCATGTATATTCAGCAATAGTTCATAAGGCATCCCGGAACTTGAGTACATGCTGCAGGACTTCGATATAAGGTCTTGTGTTATCAGTTATATAGATGAAATTACTGGTGCATTGCAGGTTGCCTTTCTGTACGTACATACAGCAGTACTTTTCAAGTCATTGATTGATTATAGATATGGCACTCCAGCATTGATCTTTCATAGCTAAGCGGGATGCAAAATAAATACAGTACTGTACTTCAGAATGAGGTGAAGGTCTGCTTCATTACGGGTACAGTATGCAGATGGAAAAATAACGCTTGTGTGCAATTTCTGTGACTTTCTTGGGGATGAATTTCTGTACACCATGCTCCAAAATCCATACCTTACGGTTCACACACCACGCTGATTATTTCATACGAACACATACGAGGTAACGCATACGCAGCCAGTACAGTATATATGTACTGTATAACCAATGCACTGTATAGTACTGTACTTAACATTGAGTTACTGTAGAACGGCGTGAACGAACTGCAGATCCTCGATGGAAGTGACATCTGCATGGCATGTGGCGTTTTCCACGACTTTTTCGCGCCACATCGACATAACGAAGCGATCAGTACAGTAGTCGCCTTGCCAATTTCCAGTTCAGTTAGATGGACACCGTTCACGGAAGAAGAGATCTTGTGTGAGATTTCGCCACAGAAGTCTCTCTTCGACGCCGAGATCGAACCCGGCAAAAAGCTCTTGTCTGGTTGAAAGAGAGGTTGTGAAGTGAAGTTGATCTGTTTTTGAAGCGTTTCGGAGGAATGAATTATAATCGTCATTCGGAAGTTGATGAATCTAATCGGTGAAATTGCATGCATTTTCCCTCAGAGTATTGTCCAAATTTTCTTACGGAAGTTTTGTGTGCTTCTCGATTTAATTAAACAGCTGAAGCCCGCAGGCTAAAATATTATTTGAATCTGCTGCGTTCCCGTTCAGTGCTTGCATTCGTCAGAAATGGAATCTGCTGCAGTTGACCCCTCAGATGCTATCCCAGTAGATACAAGTAGTAAGCATTGCTCGATTGGGAGTGTAATGTGCGAAAGTGTGTCAGTCATTGTGCCTTCATAGTAAGTCAATTTCTGTGTATTTCAGGTGATGGAGTGGCTGAAAAGGATCCAGATGCGAATATGGCCGAAGACGAAGGAAACGTAGAAGAAGAGCCGAAAGAATTACGGAATCTGGACGGCGGGGACACAGGGGAAAATTCGGCCCCTCGCGAAGCAGTGACTTTCAACGCTGTGTATAATAAGAAGAAATATGAAATAACTTTTGATTTGGACGAAACCATCGCCAGCTTAAAAAAACACTTGGAAAGCATAATCAATGTGACAAGCGATATGCAGAAAATTATGGTCAAGGGTCTGGCTGACAACAAGAAAACGCTTCGAGAAGTTGGAATAACTCCTACAACAAAAGTCTTGATCGTCGGGTCTCAAGTCAGTGATGTGTTGTCCGTTACCCAGCCTGCGAAAGGGGTGAGTTTCATAGAAGAGTTTCCAGGATTAGATTATTGCTTCATTGGGAATATTTTCCAACTGGATGATATTGTGCTTCAAAACCTTAATTTGATCATTGATGGATTTTTTTAGGCAAGTGCTCCGGAAGAAAAGGTGTGCGCAGCGAAGGAAAGCTTTTTCGAAAATAAAATCCACAAAAAGGTGATCAGCGCTGGAGTGCCGCCAGATGCAATGATGGGCATAAAAAACTCCAAGGATGCGCTACCGGATACTCCTCTCACGGGAATGTTGAATAAGAACTTAGGTAAAGTTCGTCTTACGTTCAAGTTGGAACTCGATCAGATTTGGTTTGGCACCAAAGAACGTACCGAAAAAGTCAATATGAGCTCTATCAAGACAATTGTGAGCGAGCCGATTCCTGGAAACGAAGAATACCATGTCGTGGTGAGTTCAGTGTTTTTTTGATACAGTACTTGCCGAGAGAAAAACCGATACCTTGCGTGGACGAATCTTGAACGATTGTGTGACGCATAATTTTTGAGAACTGATTCTCTTTTTTGTTTCGGCATCACAACTTACGAGCACTTATTGTAAAACTCTGACAAACCTAAATGTTATCGTACTACGGGGCCTATTCAGTCTGTCCGTTATCACGGAAATCGATGATTTTCCTGTGTCTTCGAATAACTTGCGAGTCCTGAAAATGGCCAATTTTCTACGTTGTTTGAGAAATCTTGTGACATTTTGCATTTTTTGCAGGAGTACTGTACTGCACTTACTCTTTTACTTACGTGGCAAGAAGTAGTTCTTTCCGTTTGTACGATACTCTTCATCAAAGTGAGATTCTTTCACATCGGCTCTGTTAGGGAAAGCTGAAGTGTATAGTTTTGGTTATTTTAGAAGCGTAGTTCTGTCATAAAGTAGAACGGATAATATCTGAATTCTGGCGTCCCTTGCTGAAAATCTCAGAAAATTTATTTTATCAAATACCTTTATTGGGAAACGCTGATCATCGGTAGTGGAATGCATTTATTTATATTGGATGAAATATATTCCTGGTGTTGTGAATGAAAACGGGGTAGGTTAAATTTCGCGGTCGATTTTCACTGAAGTTTCTCATCTCTTGATATTTCACTGTTGGCGCGTTAATCTTATGTTACGTTTTTTTTTTCTTTTTTCGCAGGGCTTTCAATTGGGACCTACGGAGGCATCAAGATATTGGGTCTATTGGGTTCCGGCCCAGTACGTGGAATCTATCAAGAGGACAGTGTTGGGTAACTGGCAATATTACTGATTGTTCCTGCTCTCACGGTTGACGTGATTTTCCGCTGCGTGACCCGAAAAACATAGGGGAATTGTGAGATTTTGCCGGGTGATATTTTCGTTGCGTGGCAAGCTTGAGGTCGCGATCTTTGCCTCGAACTTATGCTGCGTCAAGTAAGCGTGTGTTTCTTGTGAAGGTTGCATATGCATATGATCCAAATTATCCTGTCTTTGAACCCAAGGAAAGACCGTTTGTTATGTTTTCCTGAAATGAAAAGAGTTTGCTATTCTCGGTTGTCAATATTGTGATTGTTCCTGAACGTCTTCCAACGTGGTGTAGCGGAATTGTCCGATGATTTTCATATGGACAGGTGAAGAGAAAAGTGTGTCGTCATTTTAAAAAATGTCCAAGTTGGGACCGAAGTGTCCCGTCCTAACCGGAAAATCAGTAGGTAATTACTTGCTGGGTGAAATGATCGGCTGTGGTTCGTATGCCGCCGTGTATATAGCCCTTGAAAAGGTACGTTCTGCGCATTGTCAAATATTTCTGCGAAGTCACGGAGGTACCTTCACACATTTTGAAGACGAATGCAAAGAACAAGGTTGCCATCAAATGCGTTGAAATTAGCAAGCTGTCGAAAGCGGCGGTGGAGAACCTTCTCGTGGAGATAAAATTCTTGAAACATCTCAATCACCCGCACGTCGTTGAGATGAAGGACTTCTCGTGGGATAACCAGTGAGTATGCTTTCATTTCAGTTGTATTGTGATCTTTTTGAGTTTTGAAGTTTTATCAGATGATCAATTCAATTTAGGTTCATCTACATCATCATGGAATACTGTAGTGGAGGTGACCTTGCAACACTGGTGCGAGCTCGACGAGGACTTCGGGAGGTTTTAGTTCGCAAATATTTGCAGCAGATGGCATTTGCACTTCAATATTTGAGGAAGAATAATGTTTCTCACATGGATTTGAAGCCTCATAACCTACTGTTGAATACCTCTGCGAGAACCTTGTTGAAGATAGCTGGTATTTTTGCCTTATCTTTTACGCATGAATTCGGATGGCTCACACACCTTCCAGTGGTTTGATTGTTTTAAATTGGCAGATTTTGGTTTTGCTCAACATCTTTCTGAGGAAGACCGGAAAACATCGTTGCGGGGTTCCCCTTTGTACATGGCTCCCGAAATTTTGTACGGTATGGCCTACGATGCAAAAGTTGATCTGTGGTCGGTCGGTGTGATCCTGTACGAGATGATTTACGGGTCTGCGCCTTATTCTTCAAAAACTGTGGACGAAATGCTCGAGAAAGTTCGACATGCGAGTCCCATTCCGGTGAGAGCTGAGCGATGTGTTACAATTTGCAAAGATCAAAAATAGGAAAGCAAAATGCTTGAAAATGATATTTTTTCTCGGATGCGCGCCGAATATGAGACCCATTCCGTTCTTATCAAAATTACCTGGTCATCTGACGAGTACTTCATTTTCAGCAAAAGTCTGAACGTTAAAATTATTGTTGATGGCCTTGATGCAAGAAATTGATGTATTTTTCTGGAAACTGTGAATTATTTCACCGACAGTTCCCCAAAACGTCTGCACTTGGAGAGAAACTGAGTGAAGAGTGTCTGGATCTGCTCCCGAAGCTTCTAGAACGTGATCCCTTGAATAGGATAGACTTCTTAGAATTTTTCGATCATCCGTTTGTGGATTTGCCGAACGCTGTAGGCCCTGATTCGATGGAAAAGGCGAAAATGAGAGCAACTGAGGCAGTCAACTTGGATATTTCGGGATCCGGGGAGGAAGCCGTTCCAAAGTATCTGGATGCCATTCGACATCTTCGAGCAGCCTTCTTGTGTATGTAACTTTTTTCAACTGTCTGAGGATTTGACCTCACAAAATATACTGGCATTGATTATTTTTTCTATTGAGTATTTCTTTTCTTGGGCTCCCGATGTTTGTATGCGTATTTATTCTTTTTTTAGATGAAACAAATGAAAGTATTTGCCGAGGAATTAGGAACAATATCCTGAAGTACGGAAAACGCTGCGAGACTCTGACGTGCATTTCAACCGATGCCCTCAAAACTGTAACACGATTACCTCAAACCGACAATTTGCGTGAGTTCCTATTCTGAACCATTGTACTGTAATTACAGTGTATCGGACTGTTGGAAATTATTTTTATCGGATAATTCTATGTTAAAAAAAAAAAACCACGAAAAACTGATCACAGTTGGGATTTGCCCGTGACGCATACGTGTCGAATATCATTTTTAGTGACGTATTGTACTTGGCAGTATTCTCTTCATCAGTATTGAATATTTTCTCGTGAACTTGTTCTGAACGACTCCCGGGAATGACTTAATCTAAATCGTGTTTAAATGATCAGGAATGGTTACTCCCCCCCCCCCCATTGTATCAAGAATTATATGGCACTGATTTTAATGCAATTTGCAATTAATTAATTGAATTTAATCAATGCAATTCAGATTTGCGGAATGACAATTCTGGAAGGTGAATTTTTTCTCGCCTTATTTTCAGTTTAGAATCTCTGGATTGGAAATGAATGGCACATATCATCGCGTGAATTGCATTTTTATGTGTCACAGTTGAACTAGTCAAATCGACCCCACGACTGGAAGCAGGAGTCAGCATCGGAGTAGATGCGGAGTGTTTCGAAGATGGTGGTCAGCTGGAACAAGCGCTTGAAGCGTATCAAAATGCTTTGAGTGTCCTAGTGCCAGTTGTAAAAGCTGAACCAGCTGGAGAACGTCGACATATTCTTGGAAAAAAGGTGTGACTTTGTATCCTGTTCGATTTTTATTGTTACTCGAATTGACTAGGCTAAAATATTACTCGAGGATTTTCGAGACAATTTTATGGTCTCAGTGCGTACTTTATTTGGAGTGACCACTTTTCTTCTCGAGTGTTGAGAAAACGGAATTGGCTCTCCATAGCCATTACTTCGTTTTTAGAAACATTTTTCACCGGCCTTCATAAAAAAAAAAAAAAACGATCATCAGCCTCAGCACAATTGTGATCAAAAGTTATGTGCGAACTCAAACTTTTGTCTGAACCGATAAGCGAAGGATTAGACGGAAGTTAGCGGTTGCCCCGGGAGTAATAATGGGGGTCAATTTTTCCGGAAACGGAAAAACATCGTCTTGAATCAAAAACTTGCTTCATTGAGTCAAACTTATTTTTCACTTGATAATTCCTATCTTCTTGATTCCCCCCACCTGCTCCAACTCTGCGCAGAACCTTGAATGATTAACCAACTAATTAAAAATGCATGCATTAGTTTGTCTGTACAGTACAGTATTGTATCTCCCTAAATATCGGAGGAAAGATGCGACCGCGAACTTTTGTCTAACTCCTTGTCTGGCGCTGATTTGATTTGAATTCGAGAATTTTTGCGCTTATACGTATTTTGAACTGGTATCAATGCGATTGTGATGAACTGGTTCTCCCATCTTGAAGGTGTCTGAATGGCTTACGCGTGCCGAGAAATTGAAATCGATTCTGGAAGGAGAAAAAATGCAGCATTCTCTCCCAGTTCCCGATTCACCGGAGACGTCACACGAGCATCCGAGTCACATGACGTGGGCCGAAATGATCTCGAGAGGTTTGATTGTGATGATTTTGATGCCACTTGTGGCATTAGTTGTTAACTGCGCCCTGTGGTACTGGTCGGAAAAGTAAATTTTTTTTTAAATCGTGTGCAGCGCTTCAATTCTGCTTATGAAGTATCTCATTAATTAATGCAAGAATTTCTGTTGAATTCAGCCATTTGAGCCACGGAGTTGAAGTTACTCATTTTTGTTCGCAGGAGTGTGTTCTGTATTCGATTACTACCATTGATTATGCTACACTGTGTTTTGATTTATGCATTTTTTTGTTTTGTTTCAGTGATCCCTGGCCGAAAAGAACATGAATGATGCATAGTTCATCAACATACAATGGAGTGATGTGATTTTTCCAAGTGAATTGAGTGACCAAACAAAATATTTCCACAGTAGTGAACAAGTGCTTAAATTCGCTGAAACACCGAATTTTGGGGATAAACAACAAAATGTGGTTTCAAGATTGCTGTGGTTCAATCGGGAACATTTTGTGATGAATTTTAATCGTGCATCGGTATTTGGTTACAAAATAATTGTCACCTTATGAAGCAATGACCTTTATTAATGTTTATGCTTGAAATAAGACGTCTGTGAAATGCAAAGACGTCCGTGCTATAACTGAGAAGAGATTTTTGATTTCTCATCCCCATCATGTATCCATCATTCAATTGCATCAAAATTCGTTACAGGGTGTCGACAGGGCTTGAAACTGAGCCATATCTGAATTGGATTCCTGCGATATGAGTTTGAATGATGAAGAAAACGACCCACGCTTGGACGTCAGTTCACCTGATTTTGACCCTCTCCTAGCCCTTCAGTCAGAGAATTTGAATTTGTCTACGGAAGACGTTCGCGTTTTTGACAACATAAGCGCATATGAAACCTATGTGAAACGAGGAACTGGAAGGTTTCTGAAATCTGAAGAAAAAGAAGAGAATGAAAAGCGTAGAGTTGCTCACGAAGAACGTCTTCGTAAAGCCCGTGTAATCAAAGGACTAGAAGGCGAGAAGAAACCTGAACCGGTGGAAATTCCCACGACTGGCAGAAGTTAGTTCTTCGAATGGTTTACACGTTATTAATTCAACTTGATATTCATTTCGGAAATTTCATGGGTGAAAAAATTGGCGAATACCTTTAATGAGTATACAGTATATTTTTTCTTGAGGCTGCTCAAGGTCGTCGAAATTTCGTCTCGATAACATGTCAAATTCGCTGACCATGACTTGGGGATTCTATGTGTAAATATTTTGTCAAGTAATGTACAACGGTTCACGTGTTATGATCTGATGCTGGCTGGAATTTGTCCTTTGATAACGTGTCAAAATTGTTAATATTTTTCTGTTTCATACAAGTCCTTCCCCTGTTTTTTTGATCATGCGTTTAAAAATTTTTGAAAATGGGAGCGTTTCACGTTAGAATAGACAGAGAAAACTGCTGGCGTCCTTACAGAGCACTAAGATTTCGGGTACGTCAAAAAATTCATCACGAATAGAGTTCTCATTACTTCTAAATTTTTGAACAGCTTCCATAGCGATGTGAGAGCGAAACGCTGTTCTTTTTTTCGTTCACTTTTCGGGCGGGCTGAATTAGGTTTGGCGATCTCATTTAATCCAACGATTTTGCTTTCAAGTACTAAAGCAAGGTTCTTCAAAGGGATTTTGTTTTTTCAACTTTTCATAAGGGGTCTTCGATTTTCAATTTTCGAGAGCACAACTATGCCTCAAAGCTTTAAAAGCTTTCGAAATGTAAACGTTTCTGGCATTCCTTATCTGATTGAAGCGTCTTTTATTAACGTGGAAAATGAGGTGCAGAGTGTTTTAACGACTTCAGTACAGTACTCGGTTCTTAGATTGCCCTGATAAAATTTTTTATGTGCTTTTTGTGTACTTTGTGAAATTTAAGTAATTTCTGAAGGAGTCGAAATGTGGATGACAATTTTTTTTAAAGATTATTGCAGCCTTTTCCGTCAGACTGACTTACGTGAACCTAAAAAAATAAATCAGGAAATTCCCGGAAATCTGCCGTTCTGAACCTAGCTGTTGAAAATGTAAACGAAATAAAATCGTTCAGTAATTTCAAAAATCTGAACAGAAATCTAAAAAATATTCTCTTGTTTTATTAAAGGAGCACGTGAATTCCACAATGTGCTTTGGAAGATGGAGAAAACCGCAGCTTCATCATCCCCACTCAGTCGCCTCGGTTTCTACAAAGAAGCTCGAAAACGCATCAAAGTTCGAACGAGGAATTTTGGCGAAATACGCTCGGAATGCACGGGTTTCTTGGAATTATTCGATCGTAATTGGAATCTCATTCTTCGTGACGTGGACGAAGTTTATCAGCGTCTCGTGACCAGCAGAGACGAGCTATTCACTGAAGGTATCAGATACCTCCAGTTATTTGTGTGTGAAATATTTGAATCCATGTAATACTTGCAGAGGGATTCGTAAATTCTATCGTCTCCTTGGTATTTTTCAGGTACGAAAATAACGTCCGAAAAGGCATCACATGCGAGATCGAAGAAGAAAACACCGGAACCTAGTGAAGGCCTGTACGCATCTTGTGTTCGTCAGTTGGAGAACCTTAATTTGAATGAAAAGCAAATCCTCGAAAATTCTTCCGAAGCTGTGCTTCCCGCCGTGCCTCCAGCGTTATTACATTTAAAAAAAGTGAACGGTAGTCGAGGAAAGCGTGTTGTTTTCCGGCGGCACTTGCCTTTGTTGCTGATACGCGGCGAAAATGTCGTCACGATTTCATATTTGGAATCTCCATGAAATACTTTTTCTTGTGTTTTTTTTTGTGAAAGGAAGAGTATTGCTGTGAAAGCGTGGTTTTGATTTCGAATTCTGCGGGAAATATAACGTAATTTATATTGATTTCCTCCATGTTTCTTCCCTCAGGTTTGAATGGATATCCGGGATGTCGACAAAATATGATCAGTGCCGTGGTAGTCTGGTTGAGCTCAGTGCAGGAGTGATTAAGGTACGCTTCCAGTTGCAGTTCAAGTGCTTCTTTCCAGCTGGATGAGCTAAATATAATAAATGAGACGTGAGTTGATCTATCTTTACATTACAATACAGTATTAATATCGTAACCCCGGCTATACGAGCATCAGATCGAATTATCTGCTGAACAGGTCTGATATAATTTTTTCCTCATGCAGAAAACTGTGCATTAGCACGAATCGTATGATGGGAAAAGATTAAAACCTAGTTCCGCTGTAAAGGTTTATCGTGTGGACATAAGAGTACACTTTAAACCTCGTCAAGTTAAATTCTAAAAGGGTAAAAACCAGCAAAAAATCGACTTGAGGGGTTTTTTTTAGTCGAGGAAACCACTATTTTTGTTGTAAATGAGAGAAGAATAAAAACAAATTTAATTAGTTATCTTAATGGTCCGAAAATAATTTTGTTTTGAAGTTGAAAGGATTCAAAAATGGAAAGCAAACGTTTTGTTGCTCCATTGGTCTTTTAATTATTCAAGAAGCATCAAGTCGAACTTTTATTGCTTTTCTCATTCCTGTGTCTCAAATAAAAAAGCCAGTAGGCATCCAAAAATGTTGAGTTTGAAGGGTGAGAGCCTATGAGTTAGGAAGGTTTTTAATGCATTGTTACTGTGGGAATTTGGACAGGGGCACAAACAAATATAAATTTTTAGGTATTTAACTTGGGAAGATTCCAGTTATTTCGGTTCAAATGTGCTGTATTTTTTACGGGGAAAGCTTATCAAACATGAAGTATTGTAGAGTACTTCCAATTTTTGAAATTTGTAAGATTTTCGCTTGGACTTGAGCGTTTCAAATGAAGTTCAGTGATTTCGGCTGGGGTCTATTTTGAGGGTAGGACTTCCGTAATGAATAAATGATGCTTGAAACTTGGGGGATTGATTTTAACTTTTGGACAAATTCAAAATTATTTTTGTGGTTTCAAAAGTTATTATTGTATGTTTCCAAAAAATCACCATTCTACGCAAATTTTCAAATGTGGAATTTGTGCAATGTGTGAAAAATTATTAATTACGGTATTATAATGTAGTATGAAATATGAATTGAATCCTTAATTCTTAATTACGCGAACCGAAGAGATTTGCTGAAATGTATCGATTCATGTAACGGTTGCGGGTCTTTTTGAAAACTATTGTAATCGTAACGATTTACCTTTAGTTTTATGGTGATACAGTATTATTGAATATTTTGCGTTGGTAATGACGCTTTTGGACCGTCGAAGAGCTCGTTATTCGAACAACCGATTTATTTCAAGTTATTCTTTTTCTGTGTGAAAATTGCTGCTGTTTCAAGCTGTTATAAAAAATCGCGAAGAACATGTGTCACAGAAAGCGCTGAAGTATCTGGGGTCTGTTTTCGGCCAAGTAAAAATCGTCGCAATGTATCTTTGTCTTCCAACCTGGGAGTGGCTTCGTGCGATGAGCAAATTTATTCGCTCACGTGCGCGAGTGAGGAATGGGATCTTGTGTCAAAAAACGATAGTCATCGTCCTTCTGTACCTGGTTCTGTTTCAAGTACTAGCCTGGTTCCAAGCGGTGACGGGTGCTCTGTTCCGGTGTTTTTTATGATGGGCTCCGGTTTTCGTGACGAGTGGTACTTCGAGTCCATCCGCTTCGTGCGAATGTGTCGTGTTTGGTGTGCAAGGCTCGAGGAAGACTTAGCCTTTGGTGGACTGCTGCTGCTGCTGCATGCTAATAAAATTAATCGATCCACGTTCTGTTCATGAAATTACTGGGAAGAAAATAATGTGTCCTGTTCGTGGACCAGTTGTTTTTAGCCTTTTTCTCACAATTGTATTTTCGCGATGGTGTACCTGGTTACTATTTTGATACGTCTCCGGCGACCGATGAACGTGAGAGTTAATCCTGGGAATCTGTGCTTTCACCCCCGGGTTTGGAATCGGTGAACATGTATCCATGTTAAAATACTGTATCTCCTCAATTGTTGAATTGAAATTTCAACCGGAATTGATTCATGTAAGCAGATTTTTGAAATTACGAGTTAATTTAAAACGGAAAATACCTCGCTGCGAAACAAAATTGGTGCTCAACTGCCTACGAAAATCGCTTCATTTTCCTGTCGGTGTATGGGAAATACGGGGACCCACGAACTTGCACTCAAATAGAACTTGAAAACATTATTTGGGAATGACAAGTGAGGACTTCACGTGACATTTTAAGCATTTCTCGGCTTCACGAAGCTTTTAGAGAACTTGCGCGTTAGCGTGAAAATTGAGCTACTGAGTCAGTCTTCTTGCCTCATACAGTATTATTATTTTGATTTCGCTGGGTAGTGAAGAATAGAAATCGAATTCCTGTTCGATCCACGAAGAAGTAATTCGTATGACATGCACTCTTTAGGAGTACTGAATACGTTTCCTTTATGATTTTTCGTAGACTTTGAAAAAAAAAAGAACGGGAAAAGCTCACTGTCTGCAGAATTGAACCCATTTTTTAAAAAACAAAAAGCTAGTACTGTAGTTATTTCACGGAACACAGATATAATAGTTAATAAGCTCTGAAAAGAGCTTTTCTTCATTTCTGAATTTTCTGATATCCTAAAAAGCGTTTGTTTCGAAGTCTGAAAACAGTTCTTCAAATATCTGGATTTCATGATCGATAGAAGGCAGTCATATTCATTGAATTTTTCGTGCTCCGAATTTTTCTTATACTGAATCGTCTGAATGTCCGAAGTGAATGGAACTAATTCAGTCTACAGTTTCGTCATCGGAAAGAATTTTCGCTAGGTGGTTTCAACTTTTTCAGGTCTGCTTGAAAGATTTTTAATTCAAGGTCGTTTGCTGAATGAATTACACTCGAATCTAATGTATTTGTTTTAAAACTTGTCTCTAATGTTGTGCCTCAAAAAGAGAAACGAATTATCCGCGATTATGAGAAGCATTTTCAATGCAATTCAGTACATCTTATTTCTTCAGGATCAGAGGAGTTATTGGCATTTAATCATGCTTAATCTCCTAAAATTCTTCAGGATTTCGACTTTTGTTTCTTTGAGGTGAAAATATATACCTAAGGTCTATTCAAATAAATTGTGAACTGAGTTTCATTTAAAAAAACATTTACTGTACAATATTTTGATCCGAAGCAATTACTGTTTGTCTTTTGCGAATCTCCATCGAATACATGATATGATACGCTGTTTTCCATCAACTAAGTTTTCAGGAAAACAAAACCGCATCTTTTATTTAAATAAATACGGTCTAGTGTAATACACAAGATTATAACTATGCGTTTATTTGCACCTGAAGCAGAAGAAGCGATTGCGTTACTCGACATTGCGTGCGAGTTTTGAGTTGTAATTTACGGCAAAATCGATTTTTGTCCAGCCTGATTTCCTGCCGAGTTTCGTGGTTAGCGTTTTCAACGATGGCTGAGATGTTATTTGCAAGAAAAAGGGGGTCGGAGAGAAAAGAAAAAAAAAAACCAACAGGGGACTGGATAGAGTTGGGTTACCATGTGCGGGGTCGATGGCCCAGCACGAGATTACGTGCGATGTTGGGATATAAACGTTGCCCCGGGACTGACGTTTATTCCCGCGTGGCTTTTGTGTGCGGATGTGAAGGGGAAAGCGACAGTCTTTTTTGTATTATTTCTGGGTACAGTTTGTTTATTTTAAAACCCCTGTTCGCCTGAAGTTTGCGGTTTCACCTGTTCTCTCTCGAGTCGCTCTGATCCCGGATTTTATGGATCTGAATCCGTTTGTCGTAAGTGTGATTTTGACGAAGAGAAACGCCTTGATATCTGACTCCTGAGATTTGCAACACGTTGTAAAAAACGAAGTAAATATTTGAGGCACGAGGAAGAAAAATTGTCGTTTTACGGGAAAATTCGAACTGAAATGTCGGGGAACATACGGTAATAATGATGGCAATATAAATTGGTTATGTAAAAATTAATCGGTTCAATGGTTATGTAAATTAAATGGTTTTGTGAAAGTTTTTCTTCGAATGCAGATATTTAATGGTTTCAAGAAAATATCCAACAACTTTTGAGTATTTTTTTCATCATTACGCTAAGGAATTCATTTTAAATGCGTCGCTTTTTCTGCGAAATTATCGATTTAATCGTCAGAGGAAGAGCGGAAAATTCGGCACATGTGCCATCGTATCATTTTTCTCTGGAAACATCGATGAAACCAATGAATGAGGATTTTCTGTGGATTCTGAGAAGCATTTTTTTGCTGTTGATGTTAATCTCTTCCACAATTCTAGATCTCCGATTATAATTTCGCACCTGTTGATTCTATTTCAATGTGCATCAGTTTCAAAACTAAATCGAGCTGCAGTTAGGCTCATAATATAGCTTGATTTCTGTCGAAGATGTAAAATATGATCACCCAAACGTTTTTACTTTGATGAGGAAACATTTCAAAAATTTCATCTTATCCTTTTCGATTTCTTATCGAGGAAATATGAATAGTGCAGTGTCCTTCACGTCCTTGCTTCATTATTGCTTTTGCCATTCCGAGTGTAAATTATGAAGCATGAAATATGTCATGAGCAGTAGTGCAGTAGTGCGAAGCCTCTTGGTTGTTCAGTCCCAATATTTGCAATAGCCCCGCTGACCCCCATAAACCTCAGAATATAAATCCCCCCCACCAGTTATTGAACGAAAGAGGGACTCCCATACTAATACTGTACTGTATATTGTCCGATGCGAAATGTGAAGGTTTCTCATATTGCGATCCAAGGCTCGCTCACCGTCCTTTCTGTTTTACTGCTTGTTCGCACGCTCTTGGGGATGGGTCGATGGACCAAGGACTTCTTGGGGTTCTTGTTTGTCCTTTGCAGTGCACACAGAGAAGGAAATGCTTTGATCCTGATAATTTTTGGGTTCTTCTTGCGTAACGGGTCTCTTTGTAGCATGCGACAGGAAGAAAATGTCCGCTCTACCCATCCTTTATGTGCCTTCGTGGGGCCCCGAAGGCAACTCATAAGCTCCTCTGGGGCTCCGCGGATACTATCGACAAAAGTAGTGAAGGAAAGGTTCTATTTAACTGAAGATGAAAAAAGGAAGGTGTGGAAAAAATTGCCGAAAACTTATTCCAAGGCATGATAACTATTCAGAGAAGTTTCCTCATTTTTTTTTTGCGCGAAAATGTTAATTTGTGAGATAGAAAGAGCGTCGTCGCAGGATTTTATTTCAGCTGTAACTGCTGCGTATGAATTTAATGTAGAAAATGTAAATAATATTGGTTCAACTCTTGTTAAGCTGAATTTATCGATTTGCTCATTAGCATCTGAGTGAATTCGTGCAGTAAAATATCGAGAAGATGCAACTTCCACATTCAAGTAATTTCTGCGGAAAACCAAGACCCAAATGCGCCTCGGTGTTCTTCAAAGTGCACAGGCCGAAACAAATATGCATTGCTTGCATTTCCTGTTGACATTCTGCCATCAAGGAACAGAGAAAAACAAGGTGGAAGGTTAAAAGCTTGAGGGGAAGATTTTTGTTTAGGTATCTTGGGGGGAACCCGGGAAATGCCGTCTCGCAGAACCCGAGGACACCTGGAAAAACAAGGAGCCCCTGAGGAACTGACACATTTTACTCGGAAGAACAACCTTTTGTTTTGCAAGAGCGTTCTGAAAGGTCTGAAATTGTTTCATTTTAGTCTTTTCAAGTACTGTCTCTTCTGCGAGAATCCCGGATCCTCTTCTCTATATTATCTTTTTTCGAGTCTCTTTTTGTCATGGCTTGCAGAACGGCTTGAGACAATACTGTATATGCAGGTGCCTGGAACGGTTGAGTGAAAATTCTGGGTCATGGTATTTCGGTATGACAAGCAGCATTTTTTAAAGCTTGTCCAAGTATTGCATGGGAATAAACCTTTCTGTGAAATGTTATGACATTTGTAGAGTGATGAGCCATAGTTTTCCCCCGCTTAGAGACAACCCAGACACCCAGACCGAATAAGAAATAATTCGGTCACCCTTGCATCACCTTTTTTTTTCCCTCGCTCCGCTCATGTATGTCTCTGAATTTTATTTTTATTTTCCTACAGTATTTTCTACTTAAATCAGAAAATGAAACAAAACACTGTACCACACGTGTCTTAGGTCAAGAGAAAAAAGGAGTGTGTTATATACCCGGCTTAAAAGCTTTTATTGGACTTCTCAAATATGATAGGATAAAATAATTAAAATTGAAGACTGATTTCAGCCTGAAACTATATTTCAGCTGTTGTGTTCATTTCAAATTTTCGCGTTTTACACCAGGGATTGATTTTGTGCCAAATTGTTCTAAAAAAAATGTGCATCTCTTTCGAAAGTGTGTGATTCTCGATTACATTTGTTTTGTCTTCAGGGAGAGCCGTTTTTCATTTCCTTTTCAGCAATGATCACTAGTGAAATCGGAAAATGAAACAGAATACTGTAGTACATATCCACATCTTTTTGAGTGATGCCAATATTTGGAAGAAAATGGTGATTTTCTTTTTTAACCCGACGATGAACATTTACTGACTTCAATATACAGTGAGACCCCAACATGCGGACACCTCGACACGTGGACAATTCGACATAGGGACACTTATTTTCCCAGAAAAAATTAATAAAAAGGCCCAACATGAGGACACTGACTCGACATAAGGACATTTTGTGATACACTTGCAAATACATTTCAGGCCAAATTACAAGAAACAGATACAGTATTTCCAACCCTAAAATTTATGTAAGAAAAGTTCTTGGGCATTTCAATTCAAATTCAAGTGGCAAACAATTTTTTTCTTCTCCCATAAAACACCAATTCGAAATTATATAATGTAAGTCTATGGGAAAACAAGACTCAACTTGGGGACAATTCAACTTAGGGACACACTTGATGCACCAATTATGTCTGCATCTCAGGGTCTCACTGTATCTTATGAACATCCCTTGTGCCACACCTTTTGTGGAACTCATAAGAAACCTTCTCGCACAAACCTCTATGGCTTGAAATCGCAGAACCGAAATGATGTGGCCATTGTAGGATAATGGATGCGGTCCTGGAAAGTTGAAAAGGGTTAGTTGACGAACCGGCGCCTTTCATTCCTTAATGGCGTATATGCCGGCGGCAAATCGGAGGGAAATGCATCTTCCCGAACCCGGGTTTATCTCATACCCTACCCATTCCTCCTCCTCGCTCAAGTGCAGAAACTCATCACTGCGTGTTTATCGCAGCTGTCGCACGTGGCCGAGTATGTCGTCGTCGTCGTCGTCGTCGTCGGCGCCTCGCCCCCGGAAAGGCCCTTGTGTTGAGGACAGACACGCTTTCCCGTTGATGGCTTTTGTGATGAGCTTCGTTTGTGTTGTTGTGTGCGAAGACGAGGCTCTCACATGGTCTCATTGTTGTAGCCCGGCTTCAAGTGCTGACGGTTTTCAGAGAGTCTCGGGGGTTCTTCTTCTTTCTCTCCTGCGAGGGACAGTGTTGTTCCCGGAGGGAGTTTTCTGTTCTGCATTTTGGGGGGATGGGAGGTTTTTATTTATTTTTTCTCAGGGGAGCGCTTTTCATTCCGGAAGAAGTGTATTGGATGAGAGTGAAATGTAGGGACATTTGGAGGAAAAATTATTGATGGAGACAGAAGGATAATTGAAATTTCGCGGATTCTCTTTAGCCAGTTTTCATGCTTGCTTCGGTTCAGGTTCAGGAGATCAGTATTATGATGTAGCTTCCTTGTCGATACGCAATTTCTCCCAAATTTTGTGTGTGTTCTGTTCAAATACAATTTCATTTTAGCGGACGATCAGTTTGTATCCTCAAATATTTTCAATTTTATTCTCCCTGGAGCAATTTCTACGATTTTTTCCCCTTCCCAAGTTGCAACTGTTCCGGAATGGAGTTGGCAGGTGGTTTTGACGAAGGATAAATTTGCACGGACCCTCTTTCTGCGCGCCGTTTATTTCTGTTGAGAAAATGCGCTGTCACGTCGGATCTTCGCGGCTGTAGCAGTGAGATTATGACGGAAGTGAGCTGAGGCTTCCGTGGAGGGAGGATTTGCCAGCTGGGGAACCCTGGCCCCGATATGAAAATCCTGCCTGGATATGAGAGTAAACCAGCTGCCTGCCGGGTTTCACGGGTTCCTAAGCGAAGGGAAATTGGGGGAGATGGGGTCACGCCGGGTTCTAGTTGAGGGAATTCCGTCTTCATCGGCGCTGTTGATGCCGGAGATACTACTGCACCTGTCGGGGCAATGTGTCTCGTCTTCATTGTGCTTTTAAGTAATAATTTTTCACTTCTCGCTTATCCGCGGACTTTTTGGAATGTTTCAGCATGGAAAAGAAACGAGTCGAGTAGTCCCAGTTGAACGCGACTTCTGATATTTCTGGAGTAGGTATGATCGTGAAAAAAAAAATCATGACTTAGCCTATGATGTTCTAAAGTTCTAGGATTTTGTCGGATTTTTAAAAAGTTTTTCAATATACTGCTTGATGATGAATGAGCATGTTTTATACAGCCGAACTTCCTCATCCATGATACAGGGTGCTAAAATTTTTCAGGCCAGCTGAAAAGTTTAAAATTTGTGTTTTTACTCATTTTTAAAAATGTGAGAGAATTGTCAAACTGACAAAAAATCCAATTTTTCTACCCTGCCAGCCAGACGTTTTTTTTAGCACCATGTGACAGGGGTGGAGAACTCTGGCTGTAATCGGAAAGTTTCCACTTATCATCATGCAGTAAATTGAAAAACCTTTTTTTAAATCCGGAAAAATCCCAGATTTGTAGAACATCGCGGCCTATGTCAAGATTTTTTTTAAAAAACAGACATACTCCGAATAGATCGTGTCGAACTAGGATAAACCCTTGTAAAGTATTCTTAGACTCGGGAAGGACCTTGGTTTTCGGAATTTTCTGGATTGTTCCGTCATTTACTGATTGCGTGATCAGTGTTGGAAGTACTGTACCCTCCAACAATTTCTTACGAACACTATCATTAATATTTTACGAGCTCGCCTTGGAAATGGGTCGGAAAATGACAGGCAAGTCTTGATGACTTGCTCAAATGCGTATCGTATGCAGAAAGTGAGGAAATATTAGATGAAATTTTGAAAAATTCCAGCGGTGGAAATTTACGCAGTACAGTATTTCGTGAAAAAGTCATCTTTTCTTTTACGTGTATATAATTTTCATATTTTTATGAGGATTCTAAAGCTTAAGAAAGTCCTAAAATTGCGGTTGTCTGACATTTTTCTGTAAACTTACTTCGAAAATTCAAATTGCCATATTACAGCATTGCAATGGACTCAAGGCCTGCGTGCATTTAAATTTAGATATTTTTGCAAGTGCACGTTATGAGAAAATGTTGCGTTTTAAAGCAATATCCACAACATTAATGTACAGTACTGTAGTTGAGTAGATTACACTCGTAGAAGATCCGTTTCAATGCTTTGTCAAATTTTATAACTTCAGATTTTACGCGTGTATGGAAATTTCAAATCCTAGAAGAAAATTGGTATTTGCTCTCTTACAAGAGCTGAAGTGTTTTGAATGAGGGTTGTCCTAATTCTGCGTGCCAGTGATTGATTCTCAAGTCCAGTCGGGCAATATTTTCTATGGATATGCACGATCGTGTGGCAATCTCCTTGAAAAGTATTCCACGTGCTTTTGTTGTTGTTGCTGGAATGTTGGAGAGAGAAGAAAAGAAAAAATATTTGAATCTGGCAGAAAAGAGCTCTCATTACTTATTGTCTAGAGGAGGTAATGAAAAAGTTGAAATTATTTATCCAGTATCCAGTATAATAAAGTTACTACTTCACTTCCGTCAGTTCGCAACTCTCTCAGCTCTACCCCCTTGACTCACTCCCATTAAGCCCCGCCCAAAGGAGCAGCAGGCAAAAATCCACCAGAAGGACGATTCCCCGACAAAACTGGCACCCTCAAACCGCACAACGGAGTTGTGCGCCCTAGCAGAGGAGGTAAGGTGGAGGGAAGCAAGGCTCACAGCCCAGCCAGGCCCCGGTTCAATCCCGCTCAGGGGAATCTTTTTTTCAAAATCGTTCCCTATTATAATCTGTAACTTGCTCAATTTTTGACTTATTTTAACAAAAAAATTCCAAAATTTGTAGAATTTCATTGTGCATGCAATACAAATTTCAAAATTTAAATTGCGCCCATCTTAAAATATTTATGATGAGTTATACTCAAAACTTGGACATTTTTCGTTTCCCGACTTTCTCAGTTTAAAAATCCACCACAAATTGTAATTTTCACCAAACTTACAATTTTTCGCAGTGAGGATGGGCGATGAAGTTGTGCGTATTTCCTTTTTTGAAATGTATAAAAATGTTGAAAATTGACTGAGATCTTTACAAAAACACAAAAACATTTTTGAGAATTGCATGAAAATTGGAAAAAAAGATTTTATGTTTTGTTTTTTATCTACTCAAAAAATCTACAGATTTCAATGAAAAAATTATTGCATTTGTAAAACATCTGTATGCATAAACTTGGCAAAAATCTTTGAAATTGAGTCAAAATTGAATAAGTTACAGTGAGGTAAACTAAAAATTTTGAATTCCCGTTTCTGTTTTGTTCCTGGTTTTTTAATTTCCAAAATTTCAATTTGCAACTGAATTTCAAATTTCTTCCGATGTTGAAAGCGCACACATGTTTTCTAAATCTCTTTTCTTGAAATTTTGAAAAATCTTGAAAAACGTTGGCGTTACATCCAAAAACGCAAAAACGTTTTTTGAAAATTGTACGAAAATTGGCAAAAAAAGCGTTTAGTTTTTTATTTGTATCTATTTTATTTTTCAATATATTCAAAATATTTGTAAATAGTAAAACTTTTAGAACATCTGTGCGCATAGACTCTGCGAACAGTTTTGAAATGAAATCAATATTGAAGAAATGACAATGTGCTGAACTGAAAAAACCAAATTTTTCGAAAATACTGTTCCCAGTTTTTCCAAATTTATATGTGTGGAACAAATTCAATTCTTGATAAAAATTACTTTCAAAAAATCACTGAAAGCTTCATGATGTTTGCTACAAGTTTCATTTTTCAAGTCTGAAAAAAGTAGAAAATTCAGTGAACTAAAAACATTTTTGAATATTGTACAAAAATTGGAAAAAAGGTTTTATTTCCATGAATTTGTCTAATTCAATTTTCAAATGTTGTCAATGCAAAAACTATTTAAATTTGCACAACATCTATTTGCATACAATTCTGGAAAAAATTTTAAAATTGAGCCAATACTGAAGAAATGGGAGTGAGCTGAAGTGAAAAATCACCAAGTTCTCATTTCCCATTTTTCAAATTTGAAAAATGTGAAAAAAATGCATTAGGTATCTAACTTCAGCTTAAAAGCTTCCTTCAAAAGGCAGTGAAGTTTCCTGCAAGATTATTTTTTAAATTTTGAGAAATAATGAAAATTCTCAAAGTTACAAATAAAAATATAAAAACTTTTTTTAACAGGGAAAATTGGGGTAAAAGTTTTTATAAAATAGTTAGTTTTTTATATAGTTTTATATAGTATAGTTTTTTATATACTTCCTTCAAGAAATATGAAGATAAATAGGACAACACTTGCATGCATCCCAGAAGAAAATTTTAAAAATTTTGAAATTAGAAAAATTCAGCGTGAGCCAAACTTTGAAATTATAATTTCCAATTTCTCTTTTTAAAATTTCTGAAGCCTTGCCTATCATGCAAACCCAAACTTTTTCCCATCTCTGCATGCAACACAAAGTTTCCTACTCTTTGATTTTTGCAACTTGAAAAAATCATAAAAATTGGCAAAATTATGCTCAGCAATGTAAACACTTTTCCATGAGAAAAAATAAAGAAAACTGCAAATTGAAATGCATTTCTTGCACATCAAATTGAAGATTCAAAATTTCAATGAATACAATATTATCTGTTTTACAATAAATCAATGTGAAAATCATGGGGGTGCCCTGAAAATTCTTGAATATTCACATCTATTCTTTTAGGCGTGAATCTCTGAATTTTCAACTTTATATAGGACATCAACAGCCTAATCTCAAAAAAAATCCTCATGCATAAAAAAATTGAAAGAATTACTGTACAATGTTCAAATTTGCTCTCAAATTTAAATTTCTATCTTTTCAAGCTTAAATGTTTTGGCATTTTTCATGCTGCAAAATCTGAAAATTCTACAATGTTTCCTGTTTTGCACATCCAATGCAAGTTTTGAAAAATACTTCAGCAAAGCTTTTATCCAATGACTGAAAGTTGTAATTATGAAAATTTCGAAAATATTCACACTAATATTTTATTTTAAAATGCCTGACTTAA